ATTGCTAGGCTTGCCCATATCCGAGGGCTCGGCTATTCGAATAGATTTACTCTGATCAGAGGTGTACATCTTTACCCACAAGACACATCTTCCTCACGTGTTGCCACGTGCCACATACCACCACGGTATACGGACGGAAGACGTGACATAGTTTCCAACCCATCCTAGCCTTAGACAAGAGTACCGACCCAATCCTACCTACGGCCGGGATACCCGGGACAGGCAGGCAGAACTGAGCCCCTAGCATTGGGCACCAACCCTCCGCCGTATGACATCTCGACTACCGGGCCGCAGCTCGTGTAGCCTTCATTTGCCCTGGAGAATGTCCATCGACGCCCGACTTCATCCATCTCCAATCCGTGTACTTTTGTTTATGACTAGACTGAGCCACAAACTAAGCCTTACCCATTAGACATGTGGAAGTACGGTAGTGCTTTGCAACAGAGGCCCGAGCTTAATCCTTATAGTGGCCGGGGTGCTACTTCCCACAACTGGCATGCACCCAAACCCCACCGAAAACAGGTTTTAGGGGTTTTGAAAGGGGAAGAGAGGTGTATGTCCAATTCCACCAAAAACCAACAATTCCAAAGTGTCCAGGTGATATGAGAATTTCCCAAGTCTAGAGTTATAAAACCACCTAATGTTGCCTAGTTAACTTGCGAAGCATCTACCTAAAATTATACTAGTGGTACTATGAGTAGAGAGTCCACTAGTTGGGGTTTTGTTTGATCTAGGGTGAACAAGGTGATAATAATAACAATAACAATAATAATATGGTCATAACAAAGATAAACAGGCATGGCTAAATAAAACAGTGATAACGCGGGAATTTAAATAAAGCGATAATGCAATAATTTAAATCAACATAATTTTATAAACTGGGATTCAATATGATCAAGATGATGTGTCTTGCCTTGCTCGTTTTCCCAATCGACGGCTTCGACTTCCACGAAGAGCGGATCTTCCGAAGCTGCAGCGTCTACACGACCAACGGAAAAGAAAAAGGCTTTAACACTAATAAACTCCACATAACAAGCAGAAACAAAGCACAAAAATGGGTTCTTTACTTCTTAAGGAAAAATTAGAGACTTGAACGGTCCAATTCCGAGTTCAAACGGCCAAGATATGGCCCTTTGAAGTTTATATGCTCTTTAAATGGATATTTACGAATTTCTTCATTTAAATTTTAATTAAAATCCCATTTATTGCGTCAGCCGAGGGGGCGGGCGCGCGGACCGGGTCCACGGGAAGTGGGGCCCACGCGTCAGCCCCTCGGTCCACGGTGGACCGAGAGCACGCGGCTGGCGGCGGTCGGCGCCGTGGGTCCCGCGCGTCAGCCGCACCCGCGGGCGCGGGCGGCTGACGGCCGGGCCCACTTGGCAGCCGCGAGGGCGCGCCCGAGGGCGGCCTCGCCGGCACGGCCGACGGGAGCGGCGCGCCCGCGCCCCGATGGTCACCGCCGGCGACCACCGGCGCGGCGGAGGCGGCGCCCGAGAGAGAGGAGGGGAGGGGGAAGGCGAACGGCGGTCCTCGGCTCACCCCGGGACAACGACGACGACGATAACGGGGGCCGGAGCGGAGGAAAGCGGCGGCACGGTTCGGGATGACGATGACGGCGGCGCTCCGACGGTCGGCGAGCGAAACGGAGGCGCGGACGAGGTCGACGGCGATGCGGCGATGCCGAGGGAGGTGGCGCCAAGCCGGGAGGAAGACCGGAGCGGCGTCGGCGGCGTACCGGAGGTCGGCGGCGACGGCGGAGAGAGAGGAGCACGGCGCGGGCACGAATCCGACGGCGAGAGCGAGCGGCGAGCGGCGGAAACGGAGGAGAAGAGCACGGGGGACGATTTTATAGCGCCGAGAGGGAGAGAGGGCGGCCGGGGAGGAAGGAAAACGCGCGCGGAGATCTCGGGCGCCATTGAAGACGCCGGCGAACTTCGCGGGATGAATCCGGACGAATCCGAGGGAGAGAGAGAGGGAAAAGAGGGGGAATCGGGAGAGGGAAACGCGGGGAGTGATTCCCCCCTCATTAAGGCGCGCGGGGACGGCGGGAAACGGCGAGATTCGCGGCGGCGGCGGCGCTAGGGCACGGGCGCGGCGGCGGGCGCGGCGGGAGGAGGGCGATGACAGGTGGGCCCCACCTGTCAGCGAGAGTGGCGGGCGGGCCCGCCTGTCAACGGCGTGCGCGCGCGCGGGGAGCCGATGGGCCGCGGGAGAGGAGAGAGAGAGGGAGAGGGAAATGGGCCGAGCCGGCCCAAGAGGGAAAAAGGGGGGGGGGAAAAGAACTTCTTTTAGGATTTTCTTTTTATAAACCTTTTTAACTTTGTTTATTTCTTTTCAATTATTATTTGTGCTCTGAAAATTCCACTAAAATTTGAGGGCTCCTTTTAGACCAAGGAGAATTTAACAAAAATTCTCCGGGCCACATTTGAATTTTTCTTGTACGTATTTTAGTGTTTGCCAATTTCTTTTCGAATTTTAATTAATTCTATTATTCCTTTTAGAAGATGATTTTTATTTTGGGATGAATTTATCAGGACGTGACAAAAAGTGTATGGGTTTGGAGACAAAGGATTTATACAGGTTCAGGCCTTCTTATTCAAGAAGTAATACCCTACTCCTGTCCGGGGATGAATCCGCCGAGTGTACTATTGATTGTATGATTTAGAGAAAATCAACATCTGCCCCTAGAGGCACCCGGACCCCCCTTATATATGGGAAGGAGTCCGTGTTACAAAAGATAATCCATATCCCTAACGGAATATGCAAATACAGATAAAATACAGTCGTAACCGACTAAGTCTCAAGGTGTTTCCTTGATGTACAAGTTAAGAAACAAACCCGAGATACAAATAAGATATTCTATGTATATTCGGTATCCTGTATTCAGCCCAAATATCATTGCCGTGTAGATATGGGGTATCCATAATCTCCACACCAATAGCCTAAAAAAAATTTCCACACTTTTTTTTTCTCCTTATTATTATTATTTTTGGTGCGGCTCTTTTTTTTTTCTTTTTTTTTTTTGCACCGTCTGCCTTTTTTTTTTGTATTTCTTCCTCTTTTTTTCTTTTTCAAGTAATTAACTCAAGCACATATGCACGATTGTGTTGCATGCATACCTCGGTCACAAGAGAAAACGATGGATACCTCCTATTTTTGTGGCGCAAGGAATATGGGAACCGATCTTGATTTATATACTTTCTATTTGCGCGTGGCAGCTCAAAAGGAAGAAAAACTGGGAATTGCTATTTTTTTGGCACATGCACTTCGGATATATTGAAACACGATTAGCTTCCTAATTTCACGCGCTATTTACTTGGTAACGTACCAGAATTCCACGGCATGCATGCACTAACACAGGAGGATGAAAAAAAGATCAGATCTAATGTTTTCTTCTCCTTCAACCGAACGTACAGGCAGTGAGCAACCAAGATGCAAAACTCAAACCAGACGAAGCTAGAACAAAAACCAGCACTGACACGACAGCGGACCAAAACTCAATAAAGCAAAATTGAATGAAAATTACAAGGCTCAAAACTAATGTTTGGTAAAGGAAAAAGTGGTGCGGCTGTATAGTGGATGATGGGAAAAAATTACAAAACTAAAATCCTCACCAGGCAACTGAAGCTCTGATACCAACTGATGATGCTCTCTCTCGTGGCCCGATCTTCTGGTGAGGGGATAACTCTCGCTTTGATCGAGTGCGACGTTTGCGACGTGGCTACCAACCAGAACAAGTCCAGAACGCCGTGCAATCGCTACACCACAAACGATGTCGTACCAACCGTGACGCGCGGTTGATGATTCATGCAATGCAAACGAGAGAACACTGCAAGAACAAGATAAGATGCAATCTAAATATTGCGAATAGGTGATTAAGCACAAAGAAATAGTTGCGATTGAAGTGGTAGATCTAATCGACCCGGCAAATCAATACACCAACTATTGGGGGCTCTGAATCAATAGTCGCCGACTAATCGAGCGAGGACTAGAGACAAGGTGAATGGCACTTGGCAAAATTCAACTAAACAAAACCCAAATGTTTTTGAGAATGTACAAAGCTATTTATAGAGGAAAATAAAGCTAGGGTTAAGTGCTAATTCGTGGAGGTGGAGGGAGACACTTCCGAGATGGGCCTAGTCAATTAATAAATATAGTTGTGGTGCGCAAGTGACGAGAGAAGTGGTCGATAAGATATTATGTAAAGGGTCATTGTAACTTGTAAATATCACTGGTGTGTATGTAAGTAGACAACAATAAATATGATATCGTTCTTTTTTTTTCTCTTACTGCTCACAATTGGTCATATTGTTGAAGACATTTCTCATTCCCAATACAGTGTCTTTTTTTATTAGATTTTGTGTTCAAACTATGTCTCATGCAAGGTGCTATCTCGCTCTCTTCCTTATTTAATTATGTGCCACATCATCTAAAATCCTATGTGGCAAGAGTATTAATTGCCATAAAGACTGTACTAATTACTTGCTTCTCTAGTGAACTGGCCTTGTGCATATAAATTGCTTGCCCGCTCTAGTAATTACTAATTAGTTTGGGGAATATTGACACTTAGTGTATAATCTAGTCATCCTAAATTTTAACTTTTTAAAGTAGGCCTGTGTTTATATTTGGGAGTTGTTGTTTTTCCATGTAAGTATCATGCATGAATCATGATACTACATTGAGAATATGCCATATTAGAATGACAAACAACACATTCGCATGGAACAACACATATAAAAATTACACCTTATCAGTTATCACATACATGCACACGTAGTCTAGCATCTGATCTAGGCCACATGCTTAAATGTTAAAACAATTTGACAACCTAAAGGTTAACGAAGCCCTTTATTAATTTCATGCTAGCTCATCGACACATGCTTACTTAGGAACCATAACATTAATTCATTCTGTGACACAGTGTAAACAACCAAAATGGGCTTCAACTAAGCCAACTGATCGAATAAAGGAGTGTTACTACTAGCAAATCCAATAAGGAACTATGGGTATTTGCCATTACCATACCCAGATCCACTCCCTCCACCATTGCCGTACCCACCAGCTTCGCCATGTCCCACTCCAGTACCATCACCACCACCATCGGCATTTGCATGTGCCCCGTAAAAGCCATCCATAGCCACTGCGCTAGAGCCTCCACCGGTTCCAAACCCTGACCCATAACCAGAGGACCCTGAGTAACCACCGCCATATCCATCACCATTGCCACCACCAACACCACCCGCATTAGCTTCTCCACCACCATACCATGCTCTCATTACGCTTGAGCTGTTACTTGAGCTAGAGCCAGAACCAGACCCAGAACCAGACCCAACACTTCCTAATGGTCCACCACCATCACCACTCCCTCCACCTCCAGCATTAGCATGTGCATTACTTGTCCCAAAATAGCCCCCGGAACTACTAGTGTTGCTAGCACCAAAGCCACCCCCAGAACCCGACCCAGCACCACTTACAGATCCAGAGCCCTCTCCTCCACCTTCTCCTTCACCTTTAGCACTAGAATATCTAATTACTCTTGCAGCATGGGATAGTCCATTTATGCATAAGACTAGAAAAATCCCAAGTGCCACAATTTTAGTGTTAGCCATTGTGAGTGAATGCAACAGTTATAGTAGTTCAGTTGAAATTGGGAGCGAAAGATTGCATGGGTACTTATAGTGTGGCCGAGGCCTTAGCCAGGATGCTTCTAAACCTTTAACTAAGTAATTAAGCTCAACTTGTGGATTAACAAATTATCTCTGCACCTGAAGTAGTAAAGTAGCTTAATTTGTAAGCACGCACGCATGGATGATAGATCAACGAAAAGAGGCTGGAGTTGACAATGCAGCGACGACCTAGAAGATTGTAAGTGCTTTATGTGTGTCACTGGAAATTTTAATATACTGTTGTACTACTCAAGAGTTTGCCATCAAATGGAAATTGATTAGTACTTCAATGGTTTTGGACATCATGATGAGTGTAGATACTCCAATTTGTAGGCACTATTACTATGCATAGAATTATGTTGTGTGGTAGAACAACTTTTGTCACTACAATTTTGCTGACTTTTGAGCTTGGATAATCGATGCCCATTTTTAAAGCAATGAAAGATACTCCATTCCAAAATATAAGAGCAAGTTTAATAGTACAGCCAACTAGTAACTCCAAATCACCTATAGTCGACTTAATAGCCAATTCATACAATAGTTCCATACTACACTATTAATATCTGATCCCACCTGTTATACACACACTGCGTCTTGGAGTCCGTACTACAACTGGCTACAAATCTGTAGCCCGCTGCTCTACTCTCTCCTCTTTTATCTCCTTAAAATATGTTTATAGCTGGCTTATAGCCTGCTATTATACCTGCTCTAAAGCATAACCACCCCTAACCCAAAGAACAAGAAATAATTATTATCATCTTGTAGTTTGGATCATCCTAATAAATATAATGCATGCATCCAATAGAATTAGAGAACATAAGAGTGGAGGATTTAAAAATATAATAATTTAATGGAGAATGGGCCATAGTTAATTGCCTACATGCATGCATGTCTTATATTATGGCACATTAAAAAATGGTTGTGTCTTATATTATGAAATGGATGGAGTATATCATAAAACTGCATACGTAGTAACATCGATTTAATAATTACTAAATCTCTTATATTCTAGATCAGAGAAATCAACTTGGCGATAATATAATACAAGTCAACACTTCAAAAGTACGATTGGGTGCTACTCCCGTACAAACTCTTTATCTCTCTGTCCTCGATTTTGTTAGATATGCCTCATCAGTAGCCGTTCAGGTATGCTATAGTTATTTAGTTGTAAGTAGGGCGTGATTAATTAGGCGACACTTGGATGGTCTACTTACATGTACTCGACCAATCAGGCTATCACATAATCAGCTATATTTGCCTGACCAATTACTAACCTGTTGAGCTAGCTCTGCTCGCTTAATTGCTTATTGATTTGTTGCCCTCTGCTAAGATTCCTATACTACTTTCTCCAATTATAAATATTTGATTTCATGGCTGGACACTTCGCTGGATCAGATTATCTCTGACGGGTAGGGATGAAAACGGATCGGAAACGGACGGAAACTAGCTTTATCATATTTGTTTTCATTTTTTTTTTCGGAATCGGAATCGGAATCGAAAACTCGGATTCGGAAATGAAATCGAATATTATCGAATACAGATACGGAGCGAATACGAGACGGAACGAATACGGTAGCGAATATTTACCGTATATAAAAAAACCCCACAAATTGAGTTTCTTGATCAAGGAAGAGATACCGCTTATTATTTTAGTTCAACATCTCCAACATTTATATCGTCAATTTTGTAGATGGTCTCACAACTGTATGAGAAAATCGATTTTCATGGCTATTTCTCTAAGAGATCCTTTTGCAAATATGATTATCATTTTCTATTCCCCAAGACCCTTTACTATATGTATAACTTACTTACCCTTGTATAAATTGAAGATGTTATTTATTTTACTTCACATCTTCAAAAATTGTAATGTTTGTTTTATACTTTAAATGCTTTCAAATACAAATATTATAAACTACAAAGTGGTAGATCCCGTTGAGCTCTACAACTTTGATATGGAAGAACACATCTCCATCAGATATCGTTCTAAATTGTAGATCTGAGATTTCGTAAAAATTAATATGGTATATTATAATGAATATTTATACCCTTAAATGACCTCAAATAATAAAATAGTCAGTAAGAAAGTTGTAGATCTCATCGAGCTCTACAATGTTGATATAAAGTTTCTCTTCATCTGATTCCGTATGAAAAAGTTATATATATATATATATATATATATATATATATATACACACACACACACACACACGTATTTTTCTAAAATTTGCTCAATGTGTGCGGATATCCGAAAAAAATCTGGATAGTTTTTGACCGTTTTCCGATTCCGATGGATAGTACCCTTACTGTATTCGTTTTTGTTTCCGAGAAAAAAAATCCAAATTCGTTTCCGAATCCGAGAATTTTCGGATAGTTCCGACTAAAACTATCCAAATCCCAAAAAAAGGTCCGGACGGACGAAAACTATCCAAACCAGTTTCAACCCTACTGACGGGCTCATACCCTTACCTGTGACGGGTTAAGCGCTAGTCACAGATCAGTGATCACTGATGACTCGGAGTCACCTGTAACGGGTAAAGACCCGTCAGAGGTGTAAGAGTTACCTTTGATGGACTGCAAACTAAAATCTGTCACAGGTAACCTTCACCTCGGACGGAGGGGTCTGAATTGGGACCCGTCACAAACCTCAAAAATAGGGCAAAAAAATATAATATTATAAGCCTAGCTATTCGCAGACCATTAGGCATCACAAATCACAAAAATAATCACATTCATAGCCATTTTGACACAAGACAGAATCACAAAAATCAACGCAATCACATTCATCTAGCCAAAGAACAAAATCACTTCACATTCACAATCATTTGGGCACAAAACAAAATCACAAAAGTCATCACAATCATATTCATCTGGGAAAATAACAAAAAGGATAACTCCATCTGGCGGCGGTGCGGTGGCGGAGGTAGCGGCCTGTGGTCAGGAGGGAGGCTATGGCCGGATCCTCACCCTCCCCCCCCCCCCCCCCACAAACTTGTCGAGGCCGGATCCGGTGGTTGGCGATGCGGTGGCGGAGGAGGAAGTGGTCGACGGTCAAGGGAGAGGCCGCAGTGGCCGGATCCGTGCCCCACAATCTTGTCGAGGCCGGATCCGGCGGTTGGCGGTGCCGTGGTGGAGGAGGAAGCGGCCGTCAGTCGGGGGAGAGGTCGCGGTGGCGGGATCCGCGGTTGACGGTGCGGTGGCGGAGGAGGAAGCGGCCGGCGGTCGGGGGAGAGGCTACGATGGCCGGATCCGGCGGTTGGCGATGTGGTGGTGGTGGAGGAGGAAGCGGCCAACGATCGGGGGAGAGGCCGCGGTGGCCGGATCCACGCCTCGTAGGCCAGATCCTGCGGCCAACGATCGGGAGGCGGGGAGGCGTCAGCGGCCGGCGCTTGGGAGGGGGGCCACAGCCTGATCTGTGAGGGAGAGAGTGATGATGGAGAGAAGGAAGATGAGGGAGAGAGAGTAAGGGAGGGAGAGAAAGAAGATGAGAAGGGAAGATGAGGAGGGAAGGGGGAAACCGAGGGGAGGAATAGGGTCGCAGGGGGGTGGAGTGGGGGATTTTTTTGTAAGTCATCTCTGATGGCTATAATTTTTTAACTCGTTTGAGATGAGATATCTAATCTTTGACGGGTTGCAAATTTAACACCCGTCACAGGTGAGGTCAAACCAATAACGGGTTGGAGAGCAAACCCATCACTACCTCACCTGTGACAGCTTAAAATTATGGCCTGTCACAGGTGAGGTGATACCTGTGACGGGCCACGACTGATGCTTCACTGATGATGGCAAACCTAACGACCCGTCAAAGGTGACGATCATATGTGACCAATCTTTAGGCCCGTCACTGGTGTGCCATCACAGATGTAGGGTTGTGGCGTAGTGGGATTTGCTAAAACATTTAAAACTTTGAACATCAATTAGCGTATGACATGATATCATGACAGTAATTTTAAATCAAATCTAAGCATCCAATTTTCTCGAACTGATTATTTGATAAGTTATTGGTAGTCAAAGTTTCGAAAAAAAATTAACTTAATCTTATTTTGAACACGACCAGAAGAAGCTGCCTAAACAACATAATGTTTTTCCTACCTCTGTTTCATATTATAAGTCATTTTGACTATTTTGGGTTAAACGGATACCGTTACAATTTGTGTATTTGGAATAGTGCAATTATAATTTACATACAGTTTGAAACATGCCACTAGGGTACGTTTTTACTCATATTGGATGAAATGTCCTTGTCTTCCATCAACCTCTCCCCTCTCCATTCTATAGCCGGCGTCGCGCCCTAGCCCTGAGGCAGCACCATTCCTGGCCTGACCGCCCTCACCGCCCAGCCGACCTCCCACAGTAGGTTGTCCTCCCGACGCCGTCGATTGCGAGTCGTGGAGGTGGACGCCGATGCAGAGGACACGGATCTGACCACCACCACTGCATTCACCGCTCCGGAGGAGAGGGGATCCACCCGCCGTGGGTGAGAGGGCTAGCTCTCCTCGCTGTAGTGCCTTGTCCTCCGGTGCGTCTACAGCGGCGTGAATGCGGTGGCGGTCCAGAGCGGTGACTCACAAGATGGCGGGTGGTGGCAACCGGCGGGGAAGGGCAACGAGGAAGAGAAAGATGAGGACATACCCGTTCCCTTCTTGCTCGTCGCCGCTGGTTCTACTTCTCCCCATCTCCGTCGTCACCGGATCCGCGCCGCTGCCCCCTCGATTGGACGAGGCTGAGATCCACCATGCCTGACCATCGTCACCACCTGATCCGGTGGAATTGTTGACCCTTCGTCACCGGTCCAATGCCAATTTGTCGATGAACACTAGCCGAGTCCCAAAGCAACGACAATGCCAGGGAGAGGTTCGCCGAGCTCCCGAGGAGAGCTCCTCCTCTGGGGTGAGAGAGAATAGGAAGCTGGAGGTGCGTGAGGTAGAAGACGGGAGGTTGACGTGAGGGCAATTTTGTCCAATACGAGTAAAAAACGTAGGCTAGTGGCATGTTTCAAAATATATGCGAATGGTAATGGCACTAGACCAAATACGTGAATTGTAATGGCGTTTTTTTCAAAACCATCAAATTTATAATGGCATATATCCAATTAACCCTTTTAAGTTATACTTACTTAGATTTTATGAACTTTATAGAAAAATATATTAATATTTCAAAACAAAACAAATAAAATATTAAAATATGTTCAATGTTAGATGTAATAAAACTAATTTAGTGCTATAGATGTTGGTATATTTTTCTACAAATTAACTTGATAAAAGTTTTGAGAAGTTTAAAAAGAGCCAAAACAACTTATGATATAAAATGGAGAGAGTGTAGTTGTGTGCGTGATTATAACTGTAAATAGAACCAATACTATATATACGAACTAAAAAATCATAAAAATATAAGCACCGTACTCCCTCCATCCTAAAATATAAAGGATTTTGGATGGATGGTATATTTTCTAGCACTATGAATCTAGACAGGCTCCCTATCCAAATTTGTTGTACTCGAAAGTATCCTATTATTCGTCTAAAATCCACTATATTTTAGAACACTATATTTTAGGACGGATGAGTAGTAAGACCAACAGTACCTATATCTTCAGTTGCTCGCGTACTGATATTCATGTCAACCAACACTACGGACTCCAAGGTCGTCGCATCTGCAAGACTGCAGTGCCAACTTGTTGTAAATGTCAAACCATGCGTCAATTCCGAGGGAAAGAAAACGTCGGTGCATGCGTAATCCAGCTATGAAATAACATATCGATATGATACAAAACACGTTCAAGCTTTTAATTTGGTGATTTGAACGGCATTTGAACAAAAGAAATACATGCATATGTAGCTACAGCAAGAGCATTACTATATATTAGACTTTTTGCTTATATAGCCTCAAGTACAACACAAGTTATAGTATATAATTACTACTCGTGAATATAATACCACTTGCTGTTTCCAAGCCTCCACTTGTATCCCCTGATCGCTTGATTAGGGAGATCTAGCTAGCTAGCTCCACATTGTAACGTAGCAGTGTCTACTACAAAGACAGAGGGACTGCATGGGGGTAGTCCATAAACACCACTATAAATACATACATAGTATTCGACATCTTGAATCGCGCACTAGTAAAGCTAACAATGGTGGACAATAAATTTGTAGCTCTTAGCTTCATTGTGATGTTGGGCATTGGGTTAGCCAATGCTTCGAGTACTTCTAATGGAAATGGCACCGGATGGGGAGAGGGTGGTGGATCTATTGACGGGGCCGGTGGAGGGTCCGGGAGTGGTACTGGATCTAGTGTGAGTATCGTAAATGAGGGAGGCTCTGTCCACGGAAGTGGTGGTGGTGGTGGTGGAGGCGGCAATGGTGGTGGACGGTACAGTGGATCTGGGCATGGTTCTGGGTCTGGTCGAGGCTCAAGCTCAAGCCAGGTCGGTCCAGACCCATACCGTGGGTCTTCTAATGCTGGTGGTACAGGTGGCGGTGAAGGCGGTGGGCGAGCGGATGGCTACTATGGATCTAGTGGTTATGGGTCTGGAAGTGGCACCGGTGTTGGCTCTAGTGCATCTATGAACGGTGACTTCCCGGGGGGTGTTTTCTCCAATGCTAATGCTTTTGGCCGTGGAGGAGGAAACGGGTATAGTCAGAACGGTGGGAGCGGTAGCGGCAAAGGCAGCGGATCTGCGTATGGCAACGGAGAGCCATGAAAGTTGTCTCTTATCAATCGCTTCAAAGTACCAAACGATATAAAACTAGCTAGAGCCCGACCTATATTAATTGTTCTGTTTTTCTTAGTGTCACAAAAATTACTCTTGTTTTATATCTCCCGATTCAGTCATTTAGGCGTGAAATTCATATATACAAATAATTGGGCTCTGTAAAAATCTGTAATGAAGGTTGATCACGAGATGAGTTGGGGTGTGATGAGTGATGAACACTGATGACTCTCGCATGAACATCTTTCTGTTACTCCCATCAAACTTTTTGCCGTCTTGGGGGAGACGCGTAGGATGCGCAATCCGGTTGAAATCTGACAGGGCACTGAAACAAGAGGATGACGAAACTAGCCAGGGTAACATGTAGCCGTTAGGTCGATAGATAGGCTAGAATATGACTTTAGTTTAACTTTCAAGCATATATATGGGCCAGATTAATTTAGGCCCCCAAACAAATGAGGCCGTTAGGCTGGCAAGATGGTTGGCGGGCTGGCGGCAGTGGCATGGATGGATGGAGCACGCCGGAGGCAGCATGGGCCAAGTTCCTCTCCATCACACGTCATGGAAAAAAGTCCACTTTACTTCGCTAAATATGGTTAGAATCTGATTCGCACTCCTCAATCGTTCTAACGATATAAAATAACTCTTAGAGATTAGCTGGCATGGCAGTCCAGTCATCATAAAAATTAAAAAATAGAGTGAAGCCCACGTATTATCCCTTCTCTCTCCTTCCTTCCCTACTGCTTCTCTCTCCGCTGTATTTCCTCTCGGCCGCAAGGATGTAGGACGGCAGCCGGTGGTGGGAGGTTCAGGAGAGGCAGCAGGGCGGCGACGGGGTTGCAGTAGAGTTGTGCACACATCGATGGTAGAGGGGTGGTGGTAGAACAAGCATCGGTCACCCTATAGGCGACGACAGTAGAGATAGGCAACAGAGACAACCTGAACCATTGCCTCTCTTCCTACATATAGGCGAGTGAGCTCAACCTCGAGCGGCCTCACCGGCCGACACCCCACTTTGATCAAACTCGATGGGTGGCGCCAGCGCGGCTTGGCACTCGAGCTCGAGTTAGGCCATGTTCAAAATATGCCATCGCCGCCTAGGTTAGGAGGGGGAGGGGAAAACAAACAAGATGCTGCAATTGATGTCAACATCTTCTCTACATATCGATGCCAATCCTCCGTCAAGCCACCAAAGCTTGCCTCCGCTACCGCAGCCTCCTTTCCGCGGTTGACTCCTTTCTCTCGTAGATCAGCGAGCGAACTCGAGCTCAACGGAGCTCGTTGGTCATCGCAGCCGCCGGTCTGCCTCTTCTCAATTGAGGTGGTCGCCGTGCACAGGCTATCAGCCTCCATGGACGGCTTCCACCATGTCATCACCATCCGCAAAGGCGGAGATGAATGACGACGTCGTGCAGATAATGCCAACGCCGGGAAGCCGCTCTAGCTCGAGCTATGACAGTTTGTCCTCGTCTCGGTGCTTCTCCTCCGATCCTCACCTTGCGGGCTGAACCTAAGAGATGAGAGGCAGAGAGCAAGAGTAGTGAGGGAATGAGAAGAAGATAGAGGGACACTGACATTTGGGCCCTCCGTTATTTTTTTTTTCTTTCTTATTTTTATTGTAACACGTGAGTGCCACGTCAGATTAAGATTGGGTTAACATGTAACATGGACACCACATAAGCCAATACCATGTTCAATATCAGAGAGTCACTAATTTTAAATTAATTTTAAAAGTTGGAGGAGTCGAAGTGACTGTTGCATACGAATTAGATCGATCTTACCTATATTCGAGGGAATCAAACTGGATTTTGTTTCACATATGCACCGCACAGTCCCCCTGTCAACACGTAAGCCTGTAATCCTATCTTCCTATAAAGTTATCCCCCACTAACTCCTTAAGCTTGACATGCAAAGATGCCACATCATCATCCACTAACAAGATGCCACATCATCATCCACTAACAATCATCACATTTAAACATCATGCAAGCATGCTAAATCTTTATAGTTATTATAATTTAAGAGCTTTTTAAATACAAACATGTTAATTTATCATCTAACATAATTCACATAATGTTTCAATGTACATCGTTATTATATTTTATGATAACCTATATACTTATATAGTTAATTCTCACTTAGTTAGTACTTAAATGATTAATCTATGGTTCAAATTATCTTTAGCCTTCAGATGATTAATCTACGGCCCAAACTATCTCCCTACTTTTCTTCTTTCATAAAGTTATACCAGCTTACTTTTTACATTTGAATCACCATTCTACATACTATTTAAATTTAAATTATCATAAATCACATTAATTTACTTAATCTGATGTTATCTAACTATCTTATACGGTATTTTTTTTGTTATCATACTAAATTCCCGCAGCAATGCGCGGGGTTTCACTCTGCGGTAATATCCATGTAAACTGATGGCTCAGGTTGCACTCTGCAGCCGGAGGGAGCCCAAACCCAAAACCGGCTGGATTCAATCGATTCCACAGCCTGAAAGGAGTACAATGCCCAAGCAGGCCAGGTAGGATCAATAAATCAAGCCCACAATCCTGCGTTACTGAAAATTTCTGATCAAGTACGGTAGTTGTCCAGGCCCGATGCAAATTAAAGACCAGCTTAGCTTGCTTTAGTTACACGTAGGTAATAGTATCAAGCGTATATATGAGGCTATTGTCACAACGTGTAAGACCCAATTAGTGGATTCGTTAATCCAGTGCCAAAGCTGCAGCCTGTCAGTCTGTGTTGGACCATATGTGTGTGCTCTCGTTAATCAACCGGCCTGCAACGACGACTTGCATTATGGAGAAAAGGAGAAGTCCATTTTGGGCTTGAATTCTTCTCAAAGGCTATTTTTCACCATGAAAACTGCTTTTTCATCTCTAACTTTTAAAACCAAACTAGTAATCTACCCGTGCTAACGCTACGGAAATATTTAGTAATACAAATCAAACAACCAAAATAAGATATATGTTTTGCCAAGCATATAATGAGATAGAATTTATAGTAACAAATTTATTATTAGTAAGGGTACAAAACACCAGATAAGAAAACAAACATTAGTTTAACCTAAGATAATATTTTGTTCAAAACATCTTCCTCATGTATTGCCTTTCTCCATCTAAATCATGTATTCTGCACTTTATGAATTACAGTATTGATATCCAATATCTGAGCGATGGTCAATCGGATTACCATGGAAAAGTTGTTTCCATTTCAGTTTTTTAACAATGAGTTTCCCTTTCATTTATGCCCATGAAGACATGGTCACAGACTAACTGTGCCCAAAAATAGTTTTATCACTGCCCCATGTTATTGCCTTTTGCTCTTGAGCAGCAACCTGATTTTTTTTTTCAATCTCAAACAATAAAAGCCACAAATGGATCAATTTTGATTTAACAAAATTCATAGAAGTAATTAAAGCACCTTATGGCAGACCATCCTAGATTCAAACTATAGCTAATAAAGCGGCAATCTTGTGAGTTGTGATAAGAAAGTGATCTAGCTAGCTGCATACAATTTCCAACCTGCAGATAGGACTGAATAAATATGTAACCCTCTTTTCAATTTGGCAATTTAGAAAAGTATGAACTGGCATATGATGAACATCAAGAGTTTCTCCACAATTCTAGATTTGCAACAAAGTGGACATGCAGGAACGGAGGAATGGCAACGTAGGTGAAAAAAAAAACAGTAGTTGTTTTTAAAATAAATTCAGCTGTAGCCCATCAATAGACTATCAGTAGCATAGTGCCTCGTAAAAATAGAATTGTAAATATGTACCAATATGTTAATGTGCATAGCAGAAATATGTTCGGCTACTTCTTTATGCGCAATCAACACAATCTGTTAAATATATCATATATGTCAACTCTCAGGTGTTCTGGAGTAAAGAAAAACTCAGATTGTTCAAGCATGGAGTTGAGCTGATATGCTGCTAATTCTGACAACCATTATTGTAAGAGGAAATACCTAGCTAGTACGTATGCAGCAGGAATTCTAGTGACAAGAAGTATATAGTAAAATATGAATGTCAGATCATCAAATAGTAGAGCTGAGATTTAGAAATTACCTCCCAACCCAGATGACAGGTACTTTGAAGAGGTGAGTCCAAAATAACTACTATGAAACTTGACAATGTTGCATCATACAATTTAAGAGTAAATTGGAGAGATAATAGAAATGGGGAAGCTACCAAGGTATTTTGGGCATGTTGCTTTTGTACCAATTTTGCCCAAATCTTAATATCACCATTAAAGGACCACAAGAAACCATGATAATTACGTTTAGAATCAAACAATCAACTTTGGTATTGAATCTGAGAACTTCAGCTAAAGGCATTTCTCCTTTTGTTGGTTCTAATGGAAAAGCAGCGGGATAAAGCAATATCAAACTGCAAATTATTAGTGGTTGAAGAAATTAGAACAGACAATTAAGAGCGCATCGAAGGAAAAAAGAATATGGCATTCCATATTTCAATGGTGAATGGCAGAGAAACAAAAACATACCAGTGAGCTTTAGCTCGTAATGGGATAAATCGATTAGCTTGTAATCCTGTAGACAGGTCGTGTTATTAACTTCCTTGGATTTGCAACTCATGGGAATGCCTGGACAAGAAACATATTATCAAGATCTCAAAGAACAATAATTATTTCAATGCACATCATCTGTTTTCTTACAAAAAAATGCAAATTAATTCCTGTTAGCAAAATAGAGAATGCATCTATTGAATTGCAAAGGGATAAATTTCTGACCACACGTACATATACCTTCCTAATCAAGATTTCTCTGATAAAATCCTTTCCAATCATTATTGATCCAATAAAAGTACAATTCCCAGAATTGCTCTGATAAAACCCTTTCCAAACTGCTCCGCAAAATACTTTCCCAATAACGTTGCTCCGATAAAACCCTTTCCAAACAGCTCCCGACATATATAACCTTCTCGACATCGACGCAAGTAAACATTTTTTGCTCATTCCATAGTAAAACAGATTTCAGTCATTCCACAATGATTCACTATGCCGTATTAGGATAAGAGCACATTCACCTGCAAGAAAACAACGATAGCAACTATAACAACAAAAACTACTGAATCACCGTTATGTCGTTTATGCTAGTTTATTCAACAGAGAAGTATTTAAACTACTTGATTTTTGGGGGTGTGGCAACTATTTCCTTTGCAGCGCACCTGAACCGGCTCCATCACCGAAGAGGAGAAAACTCAGGTAATAAGCTCGATCCACGAAAATCTAACTGATAGTGATTAGCCCCCACGCCTCCACCACATCCTCTATACCTGGTTCACCTACAAAGAACATGAAAGAGGGAAGAAAGAGAATGTTTCATGGTAATTGGACATGGTGGCTAGGGTGGCTGCAGTGCAAGGGTGGGAACTCACCTGGTGGGCGCTGGAGATGGGTGCTGGCCTGCTCGATCGGACGGCGAGCCGGCGAGCGGCGGTGGCAGTGGATGATGCCCGACGATGGGCGACAACCTTGATCCGATAGCGAGAGCAGTCAAACGCCGGACAACGACCTGCATCCAACAGCGACGGCGATAGACGCAGGGTGGCAGCCGATGACGGGAGGGTGAGCAGCGACCCACGGATCGGCGACGCTCCCTGAGGAAGAGAGAGGAGCTTAGGGCTTCCATGGGGAGGGATTCGCGGAGGAGAGGCTTTCGTGGGGCCAACACGGGCTTCGCGTGAAGCTCAGGAGCTATTTGCGGAGGAGCAATGGGGGCGTGCGTCCGTCGTCGTCGGGGGCAGTCCCGGGCGTGGCACCGGCGGAAGGGGATGCGGTTGTGCGGTGGTGGCTCGGCGCTGATCCGGCGTTGTGGCAGTGCGCCGGTGGCTCGGCGCTGGTCGAGCGAGAGAGGATGCGCACGGCGGAGTCATCGCGACTGGGTTTTGTGTGGCGGAGTGACCGCTTCGGGGCGAAATTGGTGGAATTGATGGAATCAGTGGAGATCCAACAGCGGCGGAATTGGTGGAATCAGTGGAATCGCTATCGCTGTTGGAATCAGCGAGGAGGAGCGAGGCGTGGTCAGCGCGCGGTCATCGCGGGAGTCGGCAGTAGGATAGGAAGAGCCGCGCGAGGACCACCGCTCATCAGGAGGACGACGAAACGGTTTAGGATAGAAGAAGATGGATGGTCCGGATTAGTAGATAGATGTGGATGGACGGTAGGGATGATCCGGGTGATTTCACCAGTAGGATTGGAGGGGGCAACTCCTCCTTTTTATATTAGTAATAGATAAACAACATTTTTCTAAGATGGTTTTTTTTAGATGCCTAGGGTTTTCACTAGTGCAAGCTCTGACAAGTGACAAGATACTAGTTGTCTATATATTTGAGAGCTAAAGCTATGAAAAATTGATGTATTTTTTATGTTTATGGAAAAATTTTGATATTTTTATATATTTATTTAATCAAATTAGGGCAAATTTTTTAAAAGGTAAACCTGAAAAGAAGACCAGGAGTTCCTGCGCTTCCATTAACAATAAGATAGTTAATCTAATTTATTAGAAAAATTCAGTTACCAATGAGGAACAGGACCTTCCATGCATGAGAAAACTAATGTCTAAGTGTGTGTTTGGTTGGAAGAATATATTCTTAAATAGGGGATGAGGATCCAGTTTTTGAGTGTGTTTGATTGGTGGACAAGGGTGCATGGGCGGTCTGGAGAGAATATTCCACTAAAATGTTGGATGAGCGTATTCGTTAAATTGGCCGGATGAGGATATCCAGCTTTACTAATATTAATCATTAGTAAATTGGCAATAATTAATATATTTTGTTGGTAATTAGTAATTAGCTTGTCAACATTAGTGTTAATTAGATATTAGTCTATTTTGTTGTTAATTAGTATAGATTACGCTATATAATTGATAATTAACATATTTTATTATTAATTAGCATGTTTTTATTTGCATTATATTTCTTCTCATTCATCCAACCAAACAGAAAACTAAATGGCCATATCTATCCAATCAAATAAAAAACTAGATCAACATATCCCTACAAATATGGATGGTCATATCCAATCCAATCTTGACCACGAACGAACGCACCCTAAAACGCTTTCAACGCTTGTCTGAACACCGAAACTAGGTTTCCACTTGAAAAAAAAAGTGGGAAACAACACAACGATGCTTTCAAGAAGGGAAAGGGTACCCATAGGTGTTGACGTCATCGGAACCGGGTAGACCACGCAAAGGCTTTTGCCCAATGCTCTCACCACCTACCAACCACGACTTCCACAACCATCGCAGCACTACTAGAACAGAAGTAGTTGACGGTTATCGTTGCCAAGATTGCCACCACCGGCAACTAGCTCATCTTCGCCCCAACACACCAGCAAGCAGTCACATCGCATAAGCCACATTTATCACACCTTCTCAGCGCTGCAAAAACGTAAGAAGTTGAGGGTCATGGTGCCAAGTAGCTCTTACTCTGCCCAAGAAACCAACATGCAGTCGTGCCACAGAAGCCTCATACACCACCTCAACAAACGGTACACCTTCTACATAGGTTTTCTCAAAACGCTGATGATGTCGAAGGTCTCCCATCCTCCATCAAACTAAATCCCCATAGCCATTAGAGAGGGTAGCTCCTAGGGGAGGGAAGAGGTCCACCTGGAAATAGGAGACCCGCTGTAACACCCTGCCTCCAAAATGTGCATTAGTACGCTCTACACGTTGAGCGGACCCACGTTCGCATGGTATCCTGCTTACACTTTTATCCTCGCTTCGTGTAAAAGGGTTAACCCAGGGATACCATGGTTGGAGCACCAAGGCTTATAAGCAGGCCCTCACCCACCTAAACTTCCAATGTGGTACTAAACCACCACTACACATCCACTTCTGGGCCACATGGGCCAAACACACACTACTACTAGGCTTCAAACGGGCTGGGGTGTTACACCCGCTCGCTGTTGTCTAGGCCGCCATCCACACTGTTGCTCATTGTGTCCCTGCTATCCGAGCTAGCAAGTGGTGTCTTGGCTACCCGAGTAGCATTAGCGGTCGAAACATAGCCGAGATGCCTCTCTCCAAGCGCTCCTCTAGGCGAAAGCCCCACCTCTCTGTGCAGCCTCTCCTTGCGACCTCTCTAGCGGGCATGTTCCCTGCTAGCTACCTTGAGCCCCGCCTGACCACCGTCATCCTAATATGTGACAAAGTCACCTACACAACGCACCCTGGGCTGGCACATACGCCAGTGCCTCGTCGGCCAATGACCACTTGCACCAACGCAGTCTATGCCATCGTCACCTCTGCAATCGTGGACAGCCTCACTATCATCAGATTTGTTTGGGGAAATGCCGAATTTGGCCTTGGGAAAGCAGCTCCAGCTATCCCCTATGCCTTTCGCCTCTGCCATGGCTACCTTCATTGCGAGCTAGCCATCCGACGCACACTGCCGTCTCTATCCCGCTGTAACGATGCCGTCATCTCCATCTAGCCGTGCCACCACTGTGTCTCTAGCCCATCTCGAACGGCGAGATCCGCCACGCCAACCTCGCCATGCCAAGAGAAAATTTTCGAGGGCATGGAAAAAGGAGGCCCTGCCACTGCTATCCTCACGGCTGCATGATTTCCCATGACCGACGACGGTGACTACGAGGACAGAATGGTGAGGAGGTAGCGCTGGCATCCGGGTAGCCCGTTTTGACCTCAGGCATATGGATGGAAAGTCTATTCTTGGCACTCTAACTGATCTTCTCGAAGTCAATTTTCCTTGACGAACAAAAAAAATGTTGCTTTTTACTCACAACTTTAAAAGCTAGATAAAACATACCATCTATAATGATTTTATTAGTATGATGGTGATTTTCACTGGTGCAAACACTTAATAAAATGCTCATTTTGTTGATGTAGATATACTATCTAATTTGGTACATACCCTATAAAACTTGGCTAACAATAGTTAGCCTTCATATATAGAAGATTACTACTATATTTCAATCAAAACAATGATAGAATATAGCTTATATTATTATTTATTCAGTTTTAAAATTTGAAGGTGAAAATGTGAAATATAACCGGCCGGTTTTAGTGCAAGGGTGAAACATTTTTACTCCCTTCAATTCCAATATAAGTTGTTTGGCCGTCTCAGCTCTTACCTAAGTGTAAGTTACTCCGAAAATCTGGACCTCTTTTAAATACCCTATAAAATTTTATATTTGCATTGGTCTAACATACTATTTTTTTCATGCTTCCAATCTAGAGTGAATTATGGACAACAACTAAGCTATTTGGGATGATTTTTCTTAATTGATTTGTGTACAAGTCTAACACGTACATGTATTTCAAATCAGAGTGATTATCCCTTGGATTATTATATGCATGGTTGCTTGGTATCAATTGTTTATATCTTGTAGTATATATTATATATACTTGTAGACCTCAGTACAGATATAACTTGATGAGTAGCAGAATCTAGCCTCGCCTGCAATCTCCTTGACTTGCAGATAATAATAAAATCAGTCATCCAAGTTGACGCGTACACTAGCCTGTCGACCGGCATGAATGCACGTCGATCGCGTAGGTTTTGCATTGCATCAGTCAGCCAGTCACCGATTCATATCTCGTCGGCATGATCTAGCTTATGATCTGGAATCACCTGTATATATAAAATTTGCATATGTACATTTATTGAATGTAGAATTCTTAATTTTTGCTACAGTTGTCGATGACTTGAATGGTCAGATTAATTCCAATCTCCACATGCATCGGCCAGGTTTACTACTAGCTAATTTCTTCTACTCCTTCCGTTTCACAGTGTAAGACTTTCTAGCATTACCCACATACATATAAATGTTAATGAATCTAAATACATATATATCTCTAGATTTATTAACATCAAAATGAATATGGGCTATGTTAGAAAAGTCTTACATTGTAAAACGGATGAAGTAGGAACCATCTGGCAGTTTTTACTTCGTTGTGGTATATATATGATGTGTGTCAGTAACTCAGTAACAGTAGATATGCAAGTTAATTACAGACATCTACGTCTTCTCGCCTGCTGAACAATTAATGAAAGTATGTCTAAGGTTGTAATGCATATTAATCAAAATTGTTCAGAGTTTTCACCAGTGGAGTACACACTGTACGTATCGATCGACCTAATCAATTAACAGTTAATTAGTTACTGATCTGGTAAACTCTATCAGTGATGAGTTTTTAATTGTGCATTGGATTAACTGACGAAGGAACCTATCGGAAATCGGTTCATTCAGCTGTAACTCCATAATGGTGAATGGATGGTCAAATTGGTAGGGATTGCGGCATCGACTCATCTTTCGTGGGGAATCTCCGGAAGACACATGATCCAAGTAATCAAGCCACGCCTCTACTCATCGTTCAATGTAGCAACAGAGATTAATTTAAAGCGGAACCCCCGATGAATTACTATTCGTTAACTGATGTGCCTTTAGCATTATATTTGTTTCTTTAGCATTATATATTTTTAAAGGAACGTTATATATGATGCTACATTAATTGTGATGTTGATTTTTTTTTCCAGAATTTGGTTTAGCTAAATGGGTCGGTTTAGTTGCAAAGTTTGAACCCAAAAAAATCACATCGAACTTTTCTACACACACAAACTTCCAACTTTTCCGTCATATTGTTCCAATTTTCTTCAAACTTTCATTTTTGGTGTGGAACTAAACACACCCTTGGTTGGTTCACAACTTCCTGTTCCTGAAAACTGGATCTGCTATCAGATCACTTTATTACATGCCTTTTTTCGCCGGCCAATCAGTTTATATGCCTATATTTTGCTCGAAAAAACTATATTCAGCTAATAATGAAATTTAGACTTATATTAGGACTATATATATATACTCGCATGCGAACTACTAGCTAGGCTTTACGTTACCATCCACCGATAACCCTTACCGTACCGCACGATAAGCGTGGTTACTACGGTAACCTCGCGGTTAGGTTACCGGTGGTTTGAGTAACACCCTGCTACTATATAGCCAGTATATATGGAAGTACAGGATGTGCAGTGCCTAGCTAGCCATTGGAAAGAGGTGCAGAAATAGATACCTTAAGCGATATACGAGATGATGAGCATCACACAGACTTAATTTGTAAGTTTTGTGGCAGTCAAACAAGATTGGATCCGGCTTACTAAACACAAGTTTTACTAGCTATAGCTAGCTACACTCATAGACCTATATTTCGCCAACACGCCATCCAAACACTTGGATCATGCATGCGTGCTGCAGTGCAAGTGCAAGACTCTATCGATTGGGCACTATAAATACCTAAGCAATCCTTGCTTTGCCATTCAACCCATTCCCATCAAAGTTCTTAACTAGTTGAGCCCAAAATGGCTGCAACAAAGCTTGTAGCTCTTAGCTTTGTAGTCCTCATGAGCATTGGGCTAGCCAATGCTGCCAGGGTGGTTAGATACGCTAGTGCAGAGGGACAAGGTCAAGGTGGTGGGAACGGTGGTGGATACGTGAACGGTGGTGGCGTAGGAAATGGTAATGGTTATGGGTCTAGTGAGAGCGGAAGCGGAGTCACCGCAACTGCTGGGGGAGGAGGTTGGGGAGGTGGTGGCTCACAGTACAATGGTACTGGATTTGGCAGTGGATCCGGGGCGGGCTCAAGCTCTGGCCAGATGGCCGAAGGTTATTACCCTGGCTATGGAGGACATGCAAGTGCTGGTGGAGGTGGAGGTGGCAATGGCGGTGGACAAGCTGGAGGAGTTGATGGGTCCGGTGGTTATGGGACTGGCGGTGGGAATGGATCCGGATCTAGTGTGGCAAACAATGGTACCCCTAACACGCCACCGCCTTATGCAAATGCAAATGCAAGTGGCAATGGCAATGGGAACGGTGGTGGTCAAAGTGGTGGCAGTGGTAGTGGTGGTGGCGGTGGATCTGGATATGGTGACGCAAACCCTTAAAATTTTTCTTTTTATGTAGTTAATCAAAGATATATTGGAGCCCACACTATCTTTGATTTTTTTTTATCCTGATATTGTAGTATTTGATTTGGTTAGATTTTATCCTTGATGTATCAGAGAGCAACTAATTAATAAAAAGGGCTCCATTATTCTAGTTGTTGTATCTTTTTCTTCTTGGGAGGAATTTTAGTTATTGTATCACTTTAGAGTTCACAAACAAGTGAGAAAACTATATAAGCCACTATGATCTCTGAGTAATTGCTTAATGAAATATCCATTATCTATGAGAAATGACAATCTTTTTGAGTAGTGCTCTAAAATGATCCGGATCATGTGTGTTGTCTCCGGACGTTGCTACCATCTTTAGATTTGTATACACATGCACGCCCTCTTCTTTAAGACTATCTCCACATGCCTTAAGACTAGATTGAACCAGGAAGATACTTTTCGTTTGAAGAATGAGATCGACGGTCAACTAGCTAGCTCGATTTTGTACTACAGCTAGCAACTTGGTCGGTTGGAAAGTGCAGTGGGTTGGTCTCATGGTGGCATCATCGCCTTAGGACCTTTTTTTTTTCAAAGGGGTTTTTTTTACCCGGTCTCTACATCCATTCGGATATATATCCAGCTTTTTAAATTATCCCTCAAACAATATAATCTGAAATTCGCTCCTAATGAAGATTTAAACTCAGTCCCCTCGAAAAAAAAAAGATTTAAACTTAGAAACTTGATGTGCTACTCGGGTCACTGCAACTACTAAACTACGTGCTCTTTTAGCAAAGCTTCAGGCCAGATGCTAGCAATATAGTTTTCACTATATCCTTGTCCATCCTTAATTTGAGTTATATTTGATAGTTTCTTAATGAAAAACTTTTAAACATAATTACATTAAAATTAGCATGTAAATTATATAGCAACAGCCACACGGGCAACGTATCTGGATTTGATTCCTTCCAAGCACGCGCACGCTAATATATTTCCTCTCAGTAGCACAAATCTTAAAGCATATCTGATGGTGGAAAATTCAAAAGTTTTGAGAAAAATAATAATATGAAACTTCTTTTTAGCAAAACCATTTGCGTTTTCGTTGTGTCCAATTGCCAAACCAGGGTATTTTTCTCATTTATTTCAGCCAGTCGATCGGGTATGTGAAAACATAGTCTCCCATTGTCTCAGCATCGCATTCTCCTCTTTAAAAAAAAAAACAGCTGCCAGTGGATACAAATTTACACAGTAAATCCTCTTCAAACGTATCCGGATCCGCCAAGCGAAATTGCTCTTCCCTCGATGGTCAGATGAAGTGTACGTAAAATGATCACTTAACTGAATGCGAGCACACACTAGCGCACACTACCAAAGAACTCATCTTTTGTCCAATGTCCCAAACCACAAATATTATAGATGTATTAAGAATAAGTACTAAAACTCTTTAGTACCAGTTCTAAAAGCCAAAGTCCGAGGAAATATCTTTAGTCTATGTTAATGCTACCAACCGGAACTAAACATGCATCTTTAGTACCGGTTGGTAGCACCAATCAGGACTAATGCTGGTGAATCTTTAGTCCTTATTGATGTTTATCAACCGGTACTAAAAATGTTATCAATTGGCATCGTCGGCAGCGTCAGCGGTGGCACGGCACATAACATCGGCCAAGATATATAGATAGCGTTCAATGGATCGACCAGCGCACCGAACAGCTCGCACAACGTACAATAAGAATGTATTCTGGTTAACCCGCAAACTCACTAATAGATCAAAATAAGTAAATACATAACTTATTTTAGTTAAGTGGTTTTCGTTGGTTTAACCATTTAACACACTTATGTGCAACTGATTAGAAGTACAGGGATGCCGGCCGGCTCACCGACCGCTCTAACGAAGAGTTGTCAGTGAATTGAACCGTCGGATCGAATGAATTTTACGGATCAGATCATTCGTGCCGATGAGATCTTTTCCTTTACGATCCGAACACCCTCCATGAATTTCAGATGCTCATCGTCAACACCTCTCAATTTGGACTAAGCTATAGGTTTAAGCGATTCGAAGTCAACATCACACATATTTTAATTACGGGGTATAGTAATAAGTTTTGTGGCAGTCAAACAAGATTGGATCCGGCCGGTTAATTAAAAATAAGTATCACTAGCTACAGCTAGCTACACTCCTAGACCTAGTACATTTTCACCAACTCGCCATATTCTAGACACTTCCATCAATGCATTGCAGTGATGCCACTAACATAAAAATAACTATGAACACCTCCATCCAGCCCTATAAATACCCAAGCAATCCATGGGTTATCATCCATCCCATCTAAGCATACTTAGCTAAGCTCAAAAATGGCGGCAACAAAGCTTGTAGCTCTTAGCTTCGTTGTCCTCATGAGCATTGGGTTAGCCAATGCCGCAAGGGTGTCTAGATTAGCCAATGCTCAAGGTCAAGGCTCGGGTACCGGGAGTGGTGGTGGGTACGTGAATGGCGGCGGTGTAGGGAACGGGAATGGTTATGGAGTTAGCCAGAGCGGGAGCGGAACCCATGCGAATGCTGGGGGAGGGGGTTGGGGTGGAGGTGGCTCGCAGTACAATGGTACTGGTTTTGGTTCTGGATCAGGCCAAGGCTCGAGCTCGGGCTCGGTGAGCCAGGGTGGTGGGAGTGCGAGCGCCGGAGGAGGCGGTGGTGGTGTTGCCGGTGGACAAGCTGGAGGTGTTGATGGATCCGGCGGTTATGGGACTGGCACTGGCAGCGGAACCGGATCTGCTGCGGCAGACGGTGGTGCTTCCCCTACATCCTCCCCGCCATATGCAAATGCCAATGCAACTGGCGATGGTAACGGCAACGGTGGTGGCCAAAGCGGTGGGAGCGGAAGCGGTGGGGGTGGTGGATCTGGTTACGGTGATGCCAACCCTTAAAATTTTCATTTCTATGTGCCGACCAAAGTTACATTGGAGCCCACGTTATCATTAATAATTTCATTCACCTTGATATGGTAGTATTTGTTTTGTTTTGATTTTATCCTTTGATGTATTAGGGAGCAACTAATAAAGGGCTCCATCATTTCTAGTTTGTTGTACCCTTTTTTCTCTTTTGGAAGGAATTTTAATTAGTTAAGTTAATGTATCACTTTTAGAGTTCAAGGGAATGCCAAAAGCTGTCACAGTGATCTTTGAGTGCTATATGTGATCAGGTTTATATGATGTTGTCTCCGAATCTTCTTTCCATTTGTGCACTTGTATCTCCACTTTTATTAAGACTACCTCCACATGCTTTACGACTAGATAGATTGTGAACCAGGATCACCTGAAATACCTATAGCTGTGTATTTTATACTACAACTTGATTAGTTTCGAAAAAATAATAGGTTTGGTACAGTGGAAACAATTAATGCATCTCGTCACCTCACTATACTGGAAGAAATAGAACTCCTAAAAAGCCGATTTTTTTATTTATAGTAATTATTAATCCACAGATTAAATTTATGGTAAATAGGAGTTGCTATTTAGCAAAATAGGATGGACGCTAATTCTAATAGCGTCCAAAAAAGGACGTTGCTTTCCATAGCGTCCAGGTCTGGACGTCGTTCACCTCAGCGTCCAGCTATGTTGTGCAGCCTAACTATCCCAAAGCCATATCCATTCTATATACGAGAAATAGAAGCGAGGAATCCCTGCAGGGAGAACTGGTGCGGCATCGAGGATTCGAGGCTAGGGCCTAGGGCAGTTACTGGCTTACTGCCGCCGATCCAACAGGAGACTGGGAAGTGGGAAGCCGCTGCCGTCCCCACCTTGTCGGGAGCCTGATATGGCGATATCCGCCAAGGACACAAGAACCATATCTATCAGTTCTTTTGGAAACGACAAGTAATTTTAGGATTAGTAGTGGAAATCTAAGTTATAATTTTTGCTTGGGGTTGCAGTTAATGGTGCTGTTGTAGCTCAAAGATGTGTTTTAGTTTAGAAGCATATGTATGTGTATTCATGAGAGTTCAGACCTTCTATGACTCTTTTCTGTTTGATTGGTTCTATGTGTACTAGTACTGAATTACTTACACGCCTATAGTCATATGATCTATTGTTTGGTACTGTTGTGATATTCTTCTGTAGTGTGAAGTTTGGAAGCATGCACGTATTCTGAAATCCGAAATACTCAATTATATGAATGGACTTATTTAGGAGTGTGATGTATAATTTTTATTTTTTTCTTCTACTTCATGTGAATACCCACAAAAATAGTTACATCTGTATTTCATCTGAGTTGCGAGGCAGTGCGTGAGCTTTTCAATAACGATTAACGCACAAGAACTCATTGTGCCTGTTCCCAGCCTGGGCCTGCCATCGGCGGCACAGGTGAATGGCGGAAACGAAAGCTTCATGCCTTCATTACAGCGAGATGCCGAGGGCGGCAGGCGACAAACGGAAAATTTCAAGGGCTGCCGCTTAGTCCGATCCTGCCTGGGAGGCGAGCGTCGCCTACCAAATACTCCAGTTGTTTGTGTTAGCGACGAGATATATGGGTATACGTAGTTTTTTCTTTCTGTATTTTGTGGGATATAGGTTGGGAGGCGGTGCCAGGCAGTGGACGCTGAGATGAACAACGTCCAGAGGTGGACATCGAGGTGAACAGCGTCCGCTCCTGGACGCTATTAGAGTTAGCGTCCATCCTATTTTACTAAATAGGAGCTCTTATTTACCACATATTTAATTTGTAAATTATTAATTACTATAAATAAAAAAATTGGCCTAAAAAGACAAATATATATTTTGCTGCATTCTTTCCACTGTGTCACTGTCATCCATGATCCATCCTCTCGCCAAACCAGAGGATTAATTTCCCTTTTCGATCTTTCTCGGCCAGTCTGATCTCTGAACGTTGTTAATCATTCTCTTACAAAACAGCCGCGAAGAAGTAGAGTTAATATTCCCTCTAAATGCGTATCTCATCTTTCAAAGTCCAAGCACTTCAGCAACCATAAGCATGGGAAACTCTCTTTTAATCTCTATGGGGAACATCCATTGTACATGTCATCTGCTAAATAGTTATAAAAAAATTTAAAAATAACAAGATAGATTAAATGTGATATATATACTCTACAATCATGCAAGCTTAAATTTAATTTCTACGAGTTAAATAACAATCATACAAGCTTAAATTTAATTTCTACGAGTTAAATAAAGGAAATATAACTATGTACTGACGTAATGTGAGTTAGGATGTGCCAAATTAAACAGGAGCGTAACTAGATTTAACTGTAAACTACCATAGATGCACAATCCAACTTATGCCTGCATACGCCAATTGCGAGGTGCTTGGTGACCACCGGCACATGATCACCTCTTCTAGCCAATGTGTACCCCTACTTCACCTACAAACACGACTAAGAAAGTGGTCAGAATAACATGTAGCTCAACTATGCCACCTTCTAGCTAGGCATGACAGTGCCGGAGAATGGACTAACATAAAAGTCTCTTCGACGCGATGGTCGACTCCATCTATGCCACACTAGAGAAGGCTAGAGTAGTAGAGTACCTGAGTCAAATTCTTCATTTGGTTGGCAATTCGATCATTGAAGATGTCTTGCAATTGATAACCTCATCACGTGAGATAAGCCTCATCGATAGAAATGCCACATTTGAGACTCTGTTGATGAAGACTGCGACCACTTTTTGTTGTTTCCTGTCCCTACACCAATTAAGTTTGGGCAATTTTGAAGGCATGGTACTTGGATCTAGTTCAAGTTGCTGGGAGGAATGGAAATGGAGAGCTAGGAGAATGATGGCACGTTGTGCTTTTTGTTTGAGGTATAAAAAGGTCATTTGACAATGTTGCTTCATGCTAGTCACTTGTTTTTCTCCCATGGATTAGGCCTCAAGCCTAGCCAAAGCTAACAAAAGCCTCAAGTTCTCAAAATAAAACACTACCCCTAACCCCATGAGCACAATTTGTTTGTAAATAGAGAGGGATCGGTGGAGATTGAGTGAGAATAATTTCACATCACAATAAATATGAAATAAATCTCCAACAAATTTTCCTCAATTCTCTTATTTCGATTTGTTCGATCATATGCCTCTGTTAACCGAAAAGCCCAACAAGACCATATTTCAGCAGAAAGCCCAGTAAAAGCCCGTTCGGCCCATCGCTTTATCACCACCACCCACTACCCTAACCCTAAAATTTCGTAACACTGTAAGGCCCAGACTTCACTCCTCTCCCCCGCCGCCGCCGTCCGACCATCCGACCACCGCCGCCGTCCCCCTCGACGCCGACCACCCCTTCGGCCGAAGCCACCTCCACTACTTCCCGCCGCCATGGCGTCGGAGGAGGGGGAAGAAGCGAACGCCGCGTCGTCGGCGGAGGAGGTGGGGAGGAAGAAGCCGCCGCGGCACAAGGGGAAGCACGACAAGCCGAAGCCGTGGGACGACGACCCCAACATCGACCACTGGAAGATCGAGAAGTTCGACCCCTCGTGGAACGAGGGCGGCATGCTCGAAGTCAGCTCCTTCTCCACCCTCTTCCCCCAGTACCGAGGCAAGTCGCGGTTCGATTCGATTTGATAGAAATCCCCAAGTCCCAAGATGATGTGAAAATTTCACGAGGTTTTGCTTGTCCGGATTGGATGGATGCAGAGAAGTACCTGCAGGAGGCGTGGCCGATTGTGAAGGGCGCGCTGAAGGAGTTTGGGGTCGCTTGCGAGCTCAATCTGGTACGGCGATGAGCCGATGAGTGATAAGACATTATTGGTGATATTCTTCAGTTTATTCTGCGGGTGAGATTTGAGATATCCTTTTTTGATGTTTGTGTAGGTGGAAGGATCCATGACCGTTTCGACCACGCGCAAGACCAGGGATCCCTACATTATCGTTAAGGCCAAGGAGCTGATAAAATTGTTGTCGAGGAGCGTCCCCGCTCCACAGGTGTTAATCACTCTCTTTGTATCCACTGCATTGAGTCATTTAGATTATAGGAAAATGTGAGAGCTAATTTAGATTTCTAGTATTCAGGTATAATATGTCCTTACCACATGATGCTAATATTGTGTTGCTGACCTACGCTTGCTTTGTGTAAGACTTGTTTTGTCGCTAAACCTCTGATGAATTTTGCAGGCGATTAAAATACTCAACGATGAGATGAGCTGTGATATTATCAAGATTGGTAGTATTATACGGAACAAGGTAGGCTATTCCATCATGGTTTAATATCAATTTGCCTCCTAATATTAACTTTGAGTAAGTCATCAGTTGCAAATATCCCCACTCATGTACGTTTAAATACCAGCTTTTGTTAGTCACGTAATATAATCATGATACCGAGCGCATAAGGATGTTGGAAAACATTCTGCCCATTCCTCATGAGGCTCAACTCAATTCTTGTTTCCAAATAGCTACATCTGTTACTGAATGTTTCCCATGATGTTATTGCCAAGATGGTCACCTTATAGTTTGCAGCTTTGTATTTTCATATTAGGACTCTGTTCCTTGATCCAAGATTTAGCTATTCTGACGTTTATGGATTTTCTTGTTGTACATAAATACGTAATCTGAAGCACCTGCATCACATATTCACGGGTTCTGTGCTAAGTTATCTGTATTGTCTTGTAAATACAAAAAGACAAACTGGTTTAACGAGCTACAGCCTACAACATATGGTTTCTTTAATTAGTCTGATTTAACTTATTGTGTAATTTTTTACATGATTACAGCTTGCCATATGGTAAATAATGCAATCATCACCTCTTCATCCTATGTTTGTCGGTCACTCAGTCTTGATGAATTTTACTTACTCTACAGCCTGCTCATAATGTGCCATCTGCAGGAAAGATTCGTTAAAAGGAGAGAACGTCTTCTGGGCCCTAATTTATCTACTCTCAAGGTAAACTGCTTGTAATATGTTCAATTTTGATACATCTCATTATTGGAAGGTTAGAAAAAACATCCCTTTGTTCTCATGCTGTTTTATGAACTGCAGGCCATCGAGATTTTGACTGGCTGCTACATCTTAGTTCAGGTTTTCCAATACTTCTTACTTTATGTGCTACATTTAAATTTTCATTGTGGGATAACCTCCTTTTTACTCTTTATATCAACTGATTTGATTGCTATTGCTATATTAAAAGGGAAACACTGTTGCTGCTATGGGTTCCTGGAAGGGATTGAAACAAGTCCGAAGGGTTGTGGAGGACTGCATAAAGAACATCAAGCACCCTGTGTACCACATCAAGGTAACAGGTTTTGTTTCTCAGATGTTTGATTCAAGGAATGTTCCTACAGAACTATTGTTGATTATTACTTATATTTTCTGTTAAACTACATAGGAACTCCTAATTAAACGTGAGCTGGCCAAAAATCCTGCGCTAGCCAATGAAAGCTGGGACAGGTTTCTCCCGAAGTTTAAGAAGTAAGGAACTTGCATCATCTTTGTTAAGACGTTTAGTGCTACTGACAATTATTCTAAAGGCCTTATACATCATTGCTTTTGCTGTTCCTCAGGAAAAATGTCAAACAAAAGAAACCGATAACAAAGGAGAAGAAGCCATACACACCCTTTCCACCTCCTCAGCAACCTAGCAAGGTGAAGTAATTTCTTTATGTTTAAACTCGTTTGTAGTGTCAAACTTGTACTGTTTGTTATACTGGTTTTGACCAGCATATGAGTTGTGATTAGTAGTCCTTCCTTGCTTCCTACAACTTGTGTATTTATGCAGGTTGCTCTGTTCATATTCATTTTATTTGTATAGAAGATTAGTGTATTTCTTTTGCTACATTATAATTTGGTGAAAACAGCATCCATGGGTCATGTGTTTTTCCTCTTTCCTCGTTGCCTAATGATATGCTTGTAGTGCAAGTGTAGCTACTGCTGGCTATTTGCTTTGGGTACTGCAATACCATTTTATTGAACGTTTCATTCTGGGTGTTGTAGATTGATCTTGAACTTGAGAGTGGTGAGTATTTCATGAGTGACAAAAAGAAGTCCGCAAAGAAATGGCAAGAGAAGCTGGAAAAGCAATCGGAGAAAGCTGAAGAGAACAAAAGAAAGAGAGAAGCTGCATTTGTTCCTCCAAAGGTTTAGAATATTCTTATTTGTGTATTTTCAGGATTATCTTCCTCATTTTGGTTCTAAATAATAACAATTTGTTTCAGGAGGACACTGCAACTCCATACGAATCTGCCAAGTCTACCAGCAACAACGACGAGATTGCTGATATGGCTAAGTCCCTAAAGGTAAACACTGTTTCGTTCTTATTAATTTCTTGGGAGCGTGACATGTTTACCGTAATTAGAATGGTCATCTCATAATATGTGAATCTGCTCAATTTGCAGAAGAAAGCAAAGGAATTCAGAAAGAGTGAAGCACAGGAAAATGTGAGACTCGAGTCTTATGTTGCAAGTAATGAAGGGTCACGCCCAAAAAAGAAGCACAAATCGTCCAAGTCCAAGTAATCGCAACCTGAATGAACCATGACCCCCGGTTAGTGTGACAACTTTTTCTAGCCAAATCATGCTAGCAGCATCCCATTCAAAGTTCCTGATGGCGATTGAACAAAATTTGCGGCCTTTTGGCTCTCTGCTTGTTGTAAAAGTAGTTGTCATCTGTATGGGTTGTGTAACTGTTTGTGCCCAATATGCCGTGGAGTAGCTCTGATCTGCTTGTCTCCTTGGGGTAGCTCTGATGGCTCGTGATGAGAGTTGAGACAGCTTCTCCATGTAGATCAGAGCTACAACGTGATGTAGACATGAGCATCTTCGCTGGTGCAGCAGTCTGAACTGTCATGTCGTTGCCTTGCCTCTTTGTGAAAGTCACAAAGACAATGCATCATCGACAAATTTACACCCAGCAACGGTCTCTGCCTCGTCGATCGCCTATTTGCCTTTTCTACCTAGAACTCAAATGACTGAAACTGAAACTGAAAGCCAATCAATCATATACTGAAAACCTGCTAGTTTGTTGCTCTATTCTACAGCTGCTCTGTTGATCATGCCTTACATATGCCGAGTATATAGTTCATAACGTGCTTAATAGATGCTAAATTAGTAGATAAGTTTCTCTAACTAAAACTGGTCTAGTGTACAGACGGTCCCTATGACGTTCTATGTTTTTTTTTTATCGAAGGGCCTTAGCCCTCCATTTCCATTAATCTCTACTATTATAAAAATTGACTGTAAAAATAATGACGTTCTATGTGAGTGATTATGCTAATTTCATCTAACATTAAGATGAGGTTTTGAGCTTAATTTGTTGAGACTGTCTTAGTTCTCTTTTGTTTTTTGGCTGTGCATCCCTGATGGATGCAAAAGCCTAGTGTAATTTCATTTATTAATGAAATTTTCCCATTATCTTAAAAAAAGTACATAACTTCTCAAATAGATGGGAGTTTGTCAAACGAATTCGAAGGAGAAAGAGCCCATAAGAAATATTTGAACAGTGTAATACATGTGAATTTGCTTCTCATATATCTTACAGCTAGGCATTTTAACAGTAGTAAGCATTTCACAAAGTGTACCATAGTTTTTGGAAACAGAGGCAGCCACTGAACAATAGCTAGCTTGAATCATTGGGATGAGCATTACAAAGTTAGTTAATTTATCATTTCTGCTAGTCAACACAAGATTCGATCTGGTTAATTAAAAAAATTTAACTGTAGGTACACCTGACTGTCGACCCTCACCATCTAGACACTTCCATCATGTTATCATACTAGTAACATGTAGAACCTGTAAAACGACCTCCAGCACTATAAATACACAATTCTTGATTTGCCGTCCATTCCATCTAGCACCTAGCTAGCTAGCTATATTCATAATGGCTGTAACAAAGCTTGCAGTGCTTAGCTTTGTCCTTCTCATGAGCATTGGCTTAACCCATGCTGCCAGGGTGGCTAGGTATGCCAATGCTCAGGGAACAGGTTCAGGAGGGGGGAATGGTGGTGGGTATCTGAATGGGGGTGGTGTAGGGTCCGGAAGCGGGTACGGGGTGGCTACGAGTGGCCACGGAGCGCACGCGCATTCAAGTGGTGGAGGTGGAGGTGGTGGTGCAACAAGCTATGGTACCGGATACGGTGGTGGATTTGGTGCAGGTTCAAGCTCTAGTCAGACGAGCAGCGGGTATTATCAAGGTTATACTGGGGATGCTAGCGCTGGTGGAGGTGGCGGAGGCAATGGTGGTGGGCAAGGAGGCGGCACCGTTGGATCCAGTGGCTACGGGAGTGGTTTTGGAACTGGATCTGGAGCTAGTGAGGGAGCTGGCGGCTTCTCCTCGCCGAACCCATCATATGCAAATGCAGATGCCTCTGCTAACGGTGGTGGAACGGGTGGTGGTCAAAATGGTGGGAATGGCAATGGCGTAGGTGGTGGATCTGGTTATGGTGATGCAAACCCTTAGATCTTTAGTTTTGTGCCATCGTTCTTAGCTACATTGGAGCTAGCTCAACCTAGCTTTCTTATCTCATGATTTTTGTTTTGTTAAACTTGTACCTGCCAGGGAGGAACAAATAAATGGATTTTTTTCATGAATGTAATGCTTTCTTAAAAATAATATATAGTTCCTCATGCATGTCCACACGATTATTTCAAAGTATCCGCACTTAATGGCTAGAAATCAGCTTTAAAATTTTCTGCACTTGAAGTCACAATAATGTGCCTGTCCCCGCACAGTAAATCGTGGGCACATACATGATCTCAATTAATGCTCTAATATATATGTTGAACCAGCTGCATGTATAATATCTTCAAAGACCATATGTAGAGATCTCCGGTTCTGTTGGGGGTGGTGATGGTTGTGCTGAGCTCTCAAGTGAGGAAGTTGCATTTGTACCCCATTCTTGTGTTCATAAAAAAGAGCAAGAGTTAAATCAGGTCACTGAAATTCACCTAGCTACTCTAATATCATGTCTTTAAGATCTGCATTAGTTCATTTTACACGTCAAACATGCCCATCTATCAGTAGTACCCTATTTATATTCCCGTCCTCCTGTCGTATATGATGTAAAAGGGTTAATCTAAAGGTACCATTGCGGGAGCATAAAGGTTTATAAACTCATCCTCACCCGCCAACCACTTTTGGGCCATAAGGACCTAAACCACACTATTACTATAGTTTATTTGGTTAATCACTTCTCAATGAGGGCCTTTCAATCCCCCTTGAAATGGATTAACCGAACAAATCCCTACAAGGGCTACCAACAAACTAGGGTTGTTACACCTCGCCCTAGTCATTGGATCACAATTTAATAACAAGGGCATCGTTATAACACCTAGACGGGGGAGATAGGAAGAAAGGAGAGGGAGAGGGTTGATGGTCCCACCGGTGACGATTAACTCAAACAAACTTCCTTTGGATTAGTGTTTCAGGCTTAGAGGTGGTGGCCAGGTGGGAGGTAGGGGATAATGAGGATAACTTTAGAGCGATAGCCAAGGTGGTAGAAGACCGATGATGAGCAGCAGGGACGAGTAGGTGACAAGGCGATGTTAAAGCCACGGGGATGGAAGAATGTGTGCTAGTGTTAGAGGCAGGTGCGATTCTTTTGATTAGTTAGGAGGCGGGTGCAGCGACAGTAGATCTGGTAGCAGGAGCAACAAAAAGATGATGAGATGTACCGACTACAACCAAGCAGAAAGAGGGAGTGAGGGACGACGTGGGAACGCGAAGGTTGACAAGCTTCACTACTAGCGCTCGTGTTGGTGACGACAAGACGAATGGTAGAGCACCCTAGATAGGAGGAGGTCAGGGAGGGGAAGATGCTATAGTGCTGCACATATGTGGTGATCAGTACTCGATCGACAGTGAGTGAGATGAGACCAGTTAGTTAATTAATATCTTTTTAAAAAAATTAGAAGTGGTTAGGGGTATCAAAAAGTGACTAATATATATTTTTTTAGAAAAATCAGTTGAGTGATGAATAGCAAGCCCAATATAGATCGATGGATTCATTTTCTTATGCTGGGCCTGAAATGTTGATGGTTTACCAATTGCCACGGCAAAACTCGGTAGAAATTAAAAAGCAAAATAAGCCATAAATTATCCATTCATTCCAAGCCACGTCTAAAGGACGTGAGATGCAAAATGGATTGGACCAGGCATAGAGGCCCAAAGCAAGACAAAATTAGGCCTGTCCTAAGCCCAACTACTACTTCGGCTTGCTGATGAAGCTTAGATCGATTTGATAATGTGATGATTTAATTGATACTCGTAATTAATTAAGGCTGCAGGAGACAAAACAAAATCGATCCACTTTAGTATTCCGAGAAATATTTTCGAGGGCACACTTCTTCACACAACATTTTGGGTGCACATAAGCCAGCCCATTCTCTGTTTGCTTTGCTAGGTGACCATTATTGGCATGAGTTGTGCGCTTCTATTGTGTATATCCAGTTGAATCGTTCTTTTGATTGTTTCAGATGGAACTACCATCAGAACGGTAGATTCTCGGTAAGATCAATGTACCTAGCTTTAATTAATAATAGCTATGTTGAGAGAAATAAGTGTATTTGGAAGCTCAAGATGCTACTTAAGATTAAGATCTTTATGTGGTACTTGCTTAAAGGGGTTGTGTTAACTAAGGACAATTTGGCGAGACGGATTTGGAACGGCAGCTTGAGGTGTTGCTTTTGTATGAATAATGAGTCTATTCAACATCTCTTTATGGATTGTCATTATGCAAAATTCATATGGAGAGCAGTTCAGTTTTCTTTTGGTTTTAATCTTCCAATTAGTATATCTCATATTTTTGATAGGTGGCTTTTGGGGGTTGACAAGAAAAAGAGTAAACTGATACTTGTTGGAGCTTCGGCCATTTGTTGGGCTCTATGGTTGAGTAGAAATGATATGATTTTTGACAAATCACCATCTATTTCCTATATGCAGGTAATTTTCAGGGCAACTCATTGGCTCCGGTTTTGGGCACAATTACAAAGGTGTGATGAAGATGGAGAGTTTCTGAAAGTTGCATGTCGCAAGTTGGAGACAATGGTTATGCAACTTTATGTCAACTATGGATGGAGATTCATAAATAGACTGGAATAAATGTGTTCTCATTATTTTGGCTTTTCCTATTTAAGTGTGTTCTTTTTTATTTGAGCTATACTCTTATCTCGAGTGTTACTCTGTAATAATTGGCTGTAGCTCTTCTTGAGCAAAAGCCGGAATATTATATTCTATTATTAAAAAAAAGGTGACCATTATTTTTTATTTTGGATCGATCAAATCAATCCATGTTGGTCATTGAGATGCACGTACAAAACCCTGTTTTTGACCAGTGAGATGCATGCACAGATCCTGCTGCAGCTTGGTGTGGCGTGTTACGTTCTAGGCTACAACAAAAATCGAGCCAGAGGCACGGCAGATTCCTAGATAGATCATGTCAGAGTTTGGAAGAATCAAGCAACATGATTAGACCTAATTACAGTCTACAGTATACTGTTGCACAGTTAATTATCTGTGAATCACATCAACTGGTATTTTGTTTTTCACAGATACGCGGTCAACCTGGACGAGACTTTGATGCCATTAATTTCATCATCTCTCGCGACAAGTAGACATTAACATCACTGAAAATTGATGAGGCCGGGTGCTACTGTTGCATGCGTGCTTTAATTTCAACGCAGAGAACGAGTCGATTGAATACTCCTACTATGTTTACCCCACATATATATCTCGAACTGCGTAATTAACCAAACGCCGCGTTAATTTCCTTGGTCTCCTCGCCTCGATCAATTGGGCATGGATCCTCTGCGTTATTAGTGCAGAGAAACAATATGTGGCAATATATATACAAGCGGTAAATTGATTACTGTATTTTGCTAAACTGGATCGATTTTCTTTTGTCTCCTACAGCCAACCAAGACTAAACTCGAGATATTTGGCTTTGATATATGTATGTACCGATTAGCTCAACCAAAAACCTTAAGCTGGTAGAGAAAGATCGATGACCAATTTACTTTCTATTTTAACATTTATAAATAATATTTCCTCTATTTTACATTATAAGACATCTTGATGTTTTGACATGTCAAAATTCAATAAATTTAAACCACATTTATAGAAAAATATAGCAACTCTTATAATACTGAATTAGTTTCATTAAATCGAACATTGAATATATTTTGATGGTATGTTTGTTCAGTGTAAAAAATATTGCTATATATATATATATATATATATATATATATATATATATATTTATAAATGTTGTCAAACTTAAAGAGGTTTGATTTAAGAAAATCAAAACATATTATAAATATGTTATAAACAGAGAGAAATCAATTTACCACTGTATAAGATGTTTTTACGATGGTCCTAACTGATATTAGAATTAATCTAGACCGTCAACTTTCTTAATTTAATGAATCCTATCTATTTATAATACCAAATTAACTAACGGTAGTATAATATTTTTCGCACATATATTAACGGTTTAGATCACATTTACCGATCATAAATTAGTATTACGACCATGGCAAATATTAATTGTAGTATTTAATTTGGATCTGTAATTTATCACAGATTACTTTTTTCTCGATATTTACCACATAATGGTGGGTACAAATATTAAATATATATATACAAGCTGCTGTACCTCTGCCGTAGAAATGACGATCCAATTCCTTTCCTTTGCCCACATATACTGTTAGCTAAATAGTCAAATCCAAATCAAAAGCTCACAATAATAAAGCTTAATAGTCTACTGATCAAGTTGCTACTACTTGTTTAATTACTATCTGCAATTGTTGTACTTTCAACGATCGGATCCGAGATTCCCATTGCTAAAGATGGATATATTGGATCTTTCTTTTCATCAAGTATACTTGCTGGTTTTCAAATACTTCTCTGTTCATCTTTTCTGGGGGCACATCTCGTGTACTATCTATTTGGCAGAATCGATCGATCGATCGAATGCTGCATATGCAGCCACTGCATGCAGAGCTCGAGGTCAACTCGAACACTGCGACTTGTCGCTGATTACTCCCTCGGTGTCTGCACAGCCATAATTAAGGCACGTTAAGTATACACTTTCAGAGGAAAAACTAAACAAAAAACCCCATGAGGCCCTCTCATCGATCTCACCCTGCCAATGTGGCTAATAATTTTCCGGGACTTCGCCGTCGGCGACGCGTTGAATCCCCAGGTCGATGCACTACACGCCGTGTGCAAATCCGCAATCCATATGCTGGTCAACATTGTGATTAATTACCACGATGGACTACTTAGCAGAAGATAATCTCAACTCGACCGAGTTGCTGCACCGACGAATGAAACATTCATACGAATCGCTTAACATCTACGTACACTTTGATCGAGCTAGGCAGCTGGCCAATGGGTTTATATATAATCTGGCTCGAATCAGGACTGGCATTACATACGTATACGAATAATTTTGTAATTTAGCATGACGCAATACATACGGATTTTTCACTTGTTTAACCTCAACTATGCATATTCAAGTTAGAGGGAAGTTAATAGTGCAAGAGCACCGCTTAATTGTCACTGTGAACTTAGCATTACCTGCATAATTAAGGATTGAGATGCACAGGCACACTGTTCCAGTAGGAGAAATTTCTAATCGGTGTCATCAGATGAAGGGAATCGAATCTAGTATAGCTCACTAGGCTTCGAAGAAACCAAGCAACACAGCTAGCTAATCTAATTAACTCCACACCGAATTATATAAACTTCTGCATCAATTAATTGCCAACAAAATATATTACCACATCGAAAGTTCGCATAAGAAATTCAGGCATCTTGATCGATTCGAAAGTTCGCATAGGAAATTCAGGCATCTTGATCGATGCAGTCATGTTGGTCAACAAACTCAACAATCAACAGATGCTATGCACTACACTACTAAGAGCAAGTTTAATAGTATAGCCAACTACAAGCTCTAAATCATATATAGTCAATATAATAGCCAATTCATACAATAATTGCTTACTATACTATTAATACCTGGCCCTACCTGTCATACACACATTATGTCTTGGAGTCCGTGCTGCAGCTGGCTACAGATCTGTAGCTCGCTGCTCTTCTCTCTCTTCCTTTATCTTTTTAAAATATGTTTATAGCTAGCTTATAGCATGCTATTGTTTATATTTTTAAAATATATTTATAGCTGGCTTATAGCCTGCTATTGTATCTGCTCTAATCCATGCATGGTTAATGGTTATCGAATCTCCTTTAATTTGATCGTCGCACATGGCGCCAAGTCGATCTCATGAAGAGGAAATTAAATCTCCCGCCATCCGCCGCTCGCTATAAATACCCGCGCAAACCTATCCGCTGATCACCACCACCTCTCTCTCTCGATCGCCATGGCTGCCACCACCAAGCTCGTGGCTCTGGGCCTCGCCGTCCTCCTCAGCATCGGGTTCGCTGGTGCCGCGAGGGTGGCCAGGTACACGAACTCGTACTCCGGCGGCGGGGGAGGCGGCGGCGGAGGAGGCGGCGGCGGCGGGACGAACGGCGGGTGGGGCTCCGGCTCGGGCGCCGGCGCCGGCGCCGGATACGGCGAGAGCGGCGGCGACTCCGGCAACACGTGGAACTACGGGAGGGGTGGCGGCGCTGGCGGAGGCGGCGGCGGCGGCGGCGGGACCAACGGCGGGTACGGCTCCGGCTCCGGCTCCGGCTACGGCATGGGCAGTGGCTCGAGCGGCGGCTCCGGCTCGTCGGCGTCGGCCCCGGTTGCTCTCAGCAGCGGCGGTAATTACGCCACCGGTGATGGCGAGGGCGGCGGCGGCGGCGGTGGCGGCGGCTCCAACGGCGGCAGCGGGTACGGCGCTGGCGCCGGAGTTGGCCAGGGCGCCGGCGAGAGCGGCTCGTCGATAGCGATGGCGCCGTCTCCATCCAGCGGCGGCGACTACAACGGCGGCTACGCCGACGCAGCCGGTGGCGGCGGCGGCGGCGGCGGCGGGCACGGCGGAGGCCCAGCAGCATCTCCGAGCTACGGCGTTGGCGCAGGCGCTGGCTCCGGCGCTGGCGACGCCGGCAGCGATGGCTCCTCCGGCGGAGGCTACGCGTCAGGAATGGGCGGCGGCAAGGGCGGCGGCGGCGGCGGCGGCGAGAACGGCGGCTACGGCAGCGGCAGCGGCAAGGGATCCGGATCCGGTAGCGGCGGATACCATTGAAATTTCCGGTAGGTTTTCGCTTGTCGCGGGAAACCCTAGAGCCGGAGGAGGCCGAGACAATGCATGAATTGGTCTCGTCATTTTATGCTGTCCGACAAGAAGTTTAATTTCTAGGGTTTGTACTTGGGTTTTAATTAGGCAGTTTTTCTTAATAATTAATGGGCTCCATCATTGTAATGGAAGATGCATGGTAGCCCAGCATGCGGAAATGAGATGTGATGACACTCTACAAGAGCAATGAATTGAAGCATGCATAATGTTTTGTTCATTGGTGTGGTCTCTATTGCAAGTATAGTTTTCTTTCATTTTCTTTTGTTTTACTGATATGACTGTTACTAATTCGTTCGTTGCTAGCTTACAAGGGAAATGAAAATGATCGAACAGGCAAATAAAAGATAAAAGGCACCACCGGTTGACCATGAGCTGATTAGTTATGAGCAAAACGGTTTATTCGCAAGAAAAAATAATTTATGAGTAAAAATTTTATATATATGCCCTCATAGACTTAAAGATAAATTATGAAAACGAAATTAAATAAAAATCATAAAAAATGTAAAATTAAGTTTGAAAATTTTAAAAAGAAAATATCCTAGATTTCATATTGGACAAAGATGAGGCTGAGAGTAGAGTGATACACGTACCCATTTATTCAAGGCCGCCATACAATTTCGGCCCATATCATAGCACAGTGCATAGATAAACCAGGGATATGAATAAGTTCACTTTAGGTCTCTCAATTTGTCATCAAATCTGAAATTTATCCATAAACTGAAACGACAGATATAACAGATCCCTCAATTTACAAAACCGCCGGATCACCCGAGATCCTAGACAATTTTATGTCTGATTTGAGCTAACGTGACGAGCTGAGTCAGCGTGGGACCCAGGCGTACCCCACATGTAAGTGGCCAGTACTTACATGTGTGAAGAATCAGCTTACCACATCAGTTAAAACCAGACATAATATTGCCTAGGACATCAGATGATCCGATTTTGTTAATTGAGAGACCCGTTCTATCTGGTATTTCGGTGTAGGATGGATTTTAGACTCGGCGATAAATTGAGGGACGAAAGTAAACTTATTCGCCCAGGGATACATATGTTATGGGCCCAGTTTTTTCTGTCCGTCCGGAGTACGAGACACATATATGGGCTGATTTTGTCTTCGAAATTTGTTTTAACTTGATGGGCCAAAACTTTGATGATCATATATACTGTAAGCTAAGAACGGTCATATATCTCACTGGCTAGCACTAGGGCTGTCAAAAAAGCTTGAGGCTCGCGAGCTGCTCGAGCTCGGCTCGTTCTAGGCTCGATTCGAGCTCGGCTCGAGCTCCAGACGAGCCGAGCCCGAGCATCTCCCTAAGCTCGCGAGCTTTGTCGAGCCGAGCTCGAGCTTCTAACGAGCCTAGTAATATATCATTTTTATTGTTATTTAATAAATTAGGAGATCAAATATGTTATTTGTATGTCTTATATTGACATAATATATTTATTTTATTCTTTTTTCCTCTTTTATTAGTATGATAAACTAGAAATTAATTTTTTTAAAGGTTATCTTTGAAATATATATATATTTTTTACAAGCTCGGTAGTCGAGCTCGGCTTGATCGAGCTCGAGCCGAGCCTGTCGGAAAGCTCGAACATTTTATAGGCTTGGCTCGAGCTCGGCTCGAGCTTGTATCGAGCTCGAGCCTAGGCTGACGAGCTCGCTCGAGCTCGGCTCGTTGACAGCCCTAGCTAGCACACTGCTGCACAGGAAGGCATGCATCCTAGACCAGAAAAAGAAAAAAAAAGAAAAGGAAAACACGCACACATGCCATAATAAAGATTATACCATCCATTTATAAAATTTGCAGAAGAATTCTTGAAGGGGATCTGGGCATGCACCGATGCACGCGAGCACGTCGGCACACATCATGATCATCTAGCTAGCTGCAAGTATTTGAGAAAACCCAATGCAATAGAGAATGAAATCGATCAAGACCACAAATCTGAGAGCTATAGCTTGGCAGCTAGCTGAACAATTAATCTAATTTTAAGGTCTCAGCGCCACATGATTTGTGCCAATCAACTGCGCTGCTTCTCCTAGTAGCAGTGGTAATTAAGTTAGTAACAACTCTGGCTAGTTAATTTAGCGTTTATTTTCCGTCAAAATTTTTATATTACGCACAAGTCTAATGCCTGGACTAACTTCACTAGGTTTAGTGGATTGACTTGTACAATGTCAAACTCATATGTAGAAGCCAGCTTAATAAGGCCAAGTTTAGAAGTTGAACAGATATGTATAGTATTCCCTAACCGGGCTATTTTCTCTCTCGCTGAGGTTTGCAGATTCGATATATTACTGAGCAAGTGGCCTCTTGCACTACAGCTTTGCAAGGTCTCCAGCACTATAAATACCAATGCAAAGCTAATCTTTCAGTCATCATATCCCCTTAACTTCACAATGGCTGGCTCTAAGGTAGTACTACTTACCTTCCTCGTCCTCCTAGTCATAGGAGTAGCCTATGCTAGACCGAAAAAATACGCTAGTGCGGGAGGTGGAGGTGGCGGTGGAGGTGGAGGTGGCTCGTCAGGGGGTGGTTCCGGCTGGGGATCTGGCTCTGGTTCTGGATATGGGCAGGCAGGTGGGTCTGGTGGAGCGTATGCTAGCGGCGGCGGCGGTGGAGGAGGTAGTGGCGGCGGGGCGAATGGTGGATCTGGCTATGGGTCTGGTTCTGGGTCTGGATATGGTCAAGCCGGGAGTTACGGGCCTTATGGTGGAGGATATGCCCAGGGTGGGGGAGGTGGTGGTGGAAGCGGTGGTGGACAAAATGGTGGATCAGGATCAGGATCTGGTTCTGGTTCTGGATCAGGTCAGGCAGGAGGATACGGACCTTACGGGGGCGGATATGCTCAGGCAGGAGGACAAGGTGGTGGTGGAGGTGGTGGACAAAGTGGTCCAGGGGGCAGCGGATCTGGCAGTGGCTCGGGAAGTGGATCTGGAAGTGCAGGATATCCATAGAATTTACGCACTACCTGGATGACATATGGATGAAGCCTATATAGAATGCTAGTTTTGTATGTTGTTATATATGGATGATAATAAGAACTAAATAAAGGGCTTCTCGCGTGTTTGTTTATCAACAGAAGTGGAGCTGCTGTAATGTTACATACACTTTGTGAATGTTTGGATGTTGTTGCAATTGCAGACAATTAAATGGCCACTTCTACACTCTTTAAGACACACCTGGCTGCATGTTTGATTCAATAGTTTTCGTTTTCATTTCCTTTCTTTCATGGATTTCGTAGTTCAAGAAATGGTGGTTTCGCATCCATAGTTAATTGATTTGAAGGCTATGAATTATCACTTTCATTATTAAAAATAAATAATCAAATTTTGCTAAAGCATGGTGATAATCTTGTATAAAGTAGTCCTCCAAAACTCTAAAACCTTCATAGAACATTTTTGCAACAGGATATGAAACTTGTGAAACACTCTGAATTCTATACTCGAAGCTTTATGCATACTTCTTTAAAGAAGTTGAAATCTTCCTATGAAAATTTGACCGTTAACCGGTAAATGAACCTTTGATACTCATATAAATTAAACATGACTAAAGTTTCATCTAGAACATGAAGATGTACATCGAGTTATTATATGTCGATGGTGGAAACGTCATAAAGCAGAAATACAATTCTCATCAGATCATGAGAGTTGAGGGATATAGATGCTTTTAGGGTTATAAGTGTGGAAAATTAAACCGAACAAAGAATTGAGACATGGCCAAAAAATTCCTCAGAAATACAAACAAAAATTAAATTGAAATATTATATTGCTAATTACTCTTTCTTCATCCTAAAATATAAGACACAACCACCACTAATGTAAAGATTAAGAAAAAATAGTATCACCTTCTTGTTTGAATTACTCCAATAAATACGATGCATATAATGCACCCAATATGGTATTAGAGATCTAGAGGGTAGGGTATTAAAAAACAAATTTAGAGGAAATAGGGGTGCTAGTAATTAATTGCATGTATGCATATTATGAAACATCGAAAAAAAGTTGTTGCATCTTTATATTTTTGTTTTTGGAATGGAGCGGGTAATAATTTAACCAGGGAAGAAATTGCAATTGCACTGTAGCTGTATATATGAAACTCCTTCGGATGAGAAAGCCAGGTGCCAGGTGGTGAATTTTCCCTTTTACTTTTGGCACACAAGCAAAACCCAATTAATCATACTGGACAATTAAAGAAGCTGATGCCATAAAAAAAGAAATAGCTATATCATTACCATGAGCCAAGCCCTTGATTAGTTCGATTGTGTCTTCTACCGCATACCTTTAGAGTTAGAGACTAAATTTAAGTTAGGCACATATGCTAGAGAAGACTCCAACAATGGCCTAATAATTAACCCTGCAACTGCAAAAAAACATACTTGTTCACTTTAATAGCACCTAAAGTTTATCCCATTTCCATTTTTGACACTTCTGTCAATTCTCAATCTTTTTCCGTTCGCCTTGATCTCTATTGACCCAGCCACGCACGCAATATGACGTTTCTACCCCTCACAAGTATAAGTAAAATGCATGGCAATGAGGGGAGAAACATCATATCGTGTGTATAGCTAGATCAATAGCAATCAAGGCGGACGGAAAACGATCGAGAATTGATGGAAGTGTTAAAAATTGGATCAGGGTGAACTTTGGATGCTATTAAAGTGAACCGATATCTTTCGATGCTATAAAACCAAAAACGCGAACTTTCGATGCTATATAACCAATTTTGCCTAGGTTTTTTCCCCCAAATTTTTAATGGAGTAAAACCGTCAATTTTGACCTTATCTTTTCTTCTTCTTATCTCTATACTCCGTAGTACATATACACGCAATAATATATGCATGCAAACTATATTGAACAGACGTCATTACACATGCAAGATGAGCTAATTAAGGTTAGTGGATCGATACAGCTATGCGCCCTGCGTGCATCCATGAACTATACACTATATATACTACGTACGCATATGCATGAAAGATACACTTTGTGTGTTAGCAAGTGTATCTAACATATACTCCCTCCTTCCCTAAATGTTTGACGCCGTTGACTTTTTTAAACATGTTTGACCACTCGTCTTATTCAAAAACTTTTATGAAATATGTAAAACTATATGTATATATAAAAGTATATTTAACAATAAATCAAATGATAGAAAAAGAATTAATAATTACTTAAATTTTTTGAATAAGACGAACGGTCAAATATGTTTGGAAAAGTCAACGGCGTCAAACATTTAGAGATGGAGGGAGTATTACCCTGAGTAGACGATTGACTCATTATATAATGATGATAATGATATGTGTGTGCTAGCTAGCTATTGTTGATTTGTCGTGTTGTAATATATACACTGGATATATATCATACTATACGCCCATAAAATTTCGCCCACTGCACCCTTACATGCCTAGACTGGGTACTCGGTATTGTTCTTTATGCAAGCTTAGCTTTCTCTCTGCATGACCTAGATCTATCGAGATAGCTAAACTATATACATATGAACTTTAGAACTTACATGTAATATTTATATTCAAGTCTACTCATAAGATCAAAGTCTTCATGTCTTCATGACAAGCCTTGCATGCACAGAAGTCGTATATTCCACCTAATTCTGCAGTACTCTTTCTTGCCCTCTGAAGTAGACTTTCTAGTTATCCTGTAATTGACTAAAGAAGCTGCGTCTTGCATGACAGCTTCAAGTTACACATGCTGTCTGGTGCTATAAATACCCACGAACTCTTCACTCAACATTCATCTCATCCTTCACTTCAGTGGCTCCATCCATCACAATGACTAAGCTCGTGGCTCTTAGCTTTATCGTCCTCCTAAGCGTTGGACTAGCCAACGCTACAAGGGTAGCTAGATATGCTAGCGCTGGAGGAGGCGGCGGTGGTGGAGGAGGTGGTGGTGGGTCAAACGGTGGTTCTGGCTGGGGATCTGGCTCTGGCTCAGGGTATGGCCAGGCAAGTGGTGATGGATCGTATGCTAGTGGAGACGGAGGTGGTGGTGGTGGTGGAGGTGGGCAGAATGGTGGATCCGGATATGGTTCTGGTTCTGGATCTGGGTATGGACAAGCCGGTGGGTATGGACCTTATGGTGGAGGATATGCTCAAGGAGGGGGTGGTGGCCAAGGTGGCGGCGGCGGGCAGAATGGTGGATCTGGATATGGTTCTGGCTCTGGATCTGGATATGGTCAAGCCGGGGGATATGGGCCATATGGTGGTGGTTATGCTCAAGCTGGTGGCCAAGGTGGTGGCGGTGGTGGTGGACAAAGTGGTCCAGGTGGTAGCGGGTATGGCAGCGGTTCTGGAAGTGGTTCTGGAAGTGCTTATGGTGGACACCCATAGTAGTGTTCCACCAACATTAGCAGAGCTTCTATATTGAAAGCTGGGTTGGACAGATATATTACTGTTATTTTTACTTGGATAATAAGAAATAAAGGGCTTCACTGAATGTAATAATTAGAGTGGTGTTGTGCACCACAATGCGGTTGTAAGCTCTTGGTGTAATTGAATGTTTGATCAATATGTTATTCCAAATGCATGATAATTCACGATCGAACCACACTGAGGACCATTTCGGTTTGAAGCCAAAACATGCCTTTTAGAAATTAACTATTTTGCTAGTGTTTGGTTCATTGATTAGTATTAATTCCTTGTTTTGGCTGGTGTAAATCTGCACCTCCTAGGTGAAGGGAATGAGATCCTCTGACTTAAGTCAGGTGACTTTTGGGGTCATTGACATCTGGGTCTATAGTAAAGAGGGGCCACATGTCAGTGTCTCAAAGTGAGCTTAAGTTAGAGGATCCCAATCCGAGGTAAAGATGACACCTAAGCTTGTTACAGTGATGCCTCACTAGAGAGTCAAAAGGTAGGAGCAAAGGTAGGAAAGGAAGGGAGAGAGGGATGGTGGGAAGGAAGAGAGAGATACGGGTGGGAAAGAGAGATTTTAATTGTCTGTATAGCTTGTTATAGAAGCACGAGTAAATCCGGCTATTTGAAATAATAAGGCGTATTTTGATCTACTACCACATGTTTTCTATTCTACAGGCTGGTAGTTAGGCTGTGGGCGAGACACAAACTGTTTGAAGTGTCCGAAGCACCCGGACAATTTATTACCAAAAATTAATGCATTGATATTTATTTACATTGTCCTTGCTGATATTAAAACAGAAAACAATTTATTTTTTTAATTTGTAGCTAGAAGTTAATACTCCCTCCTTTTTATATATTATAAGTCACTTTGACTTTTTTTTAAGTCAAATATTTTTAAGTATGACCAAGTTTATAAAAAAGTTAGTAGTATTTTCAATACAAAATAAATGTATCATCAAAATATATTCAATGTTAGACTTAATGAAAATTATTTTGTGTTATAGATGTTGCTAGGTATTTTATAAATTGGTTCAAACTTGAAAATGTTTTACTAGGAAGAAAAATTAAAACGACTTATAATATGAAACAGAGGTAGTATTAATTTTTGGACGGAGGGAGTGCATGCCTGCGGCGCCACTTGATCCATGTCATCCAAGGTTGGCATGCATATGCAGTTTGGCACCAGCTAGCATTTCCTCACTTAGAGTACGCGTGGTTTTCATATATACTACTATATGTATACTTTCCCTGACCATGCATGGGAGGCGTATTAGGCAAAGCCTAATCATAAAAGGGAAAAAAAGTTGTCCTAACTGGCCTAACAGTCGTGCCTTGCCGACCTGATATTTTCTCAATGAGAACACTGATTGTTTGGATAAATTAACTAAATTAAACAAGTGACCCAAAATGTCACTTCGCTCTACACCTAGCTTTGTATGGTCTCCTACACTACGCGGCTACACGTACTAGAAGTTCGATCATGAGCCAACTCGACACTTCGCATTCAATTAATTTGACGAACACATATGCTTATTCTCGATCCGCTGTTTTTTAGGTCGTATTTGTAGTAGTTTACAGACACTAGCTAGTTCAGTTTATTCTGCTCAATATATAGTTTATCAAATTATATATAGATATGATGACCAATATATTTGCATTCCAATACGCTTTCGGTCACTATTAATTGGTTTTAAATACATACTTTTTTTTATCTGAGATCAATATAGGAGTACCTAAGATACTTGAAATTATAATATGACCAACATACATATCGGGTGCATTAATATGCAAGAATATATATATATATTTTTTGAGAAACACAGTATAAACGCAGGCGCTCACAACGTGCGCACACTCACCCCTATGAACGCACACACGCACACCCTACTCCTATGAGCACCTCCGGAAGACTGGGCCGGCATATCTTGTTATTGGTTAGACGTCATTAATTAGACGAAATGAGGTTATACATTCAGTTAACTTATATATGCATCCTGCATGTATATATAAATGCAAACATTGTCCCTATATATATATCACAATACCTCTCATCAACTTATTAATTAATTAATATGTGGAAATGGGTGACTCACTTTATGACAATAATGTAGTAGTACTAGCCATTGTGGACTTGAGGATGCCTGGTGTGTTGCAATAGCTACAATCCAATATGTGCTGCTAAATTTTGCCTCTTGGATGCTCACATACCTGGATTAAGAGTACACGGTATATGCATGTTTCTCTGCATGACCTAGAGTTAGCCAAATTATATCCTGGCCTACTCAAAAGAGAGAAGAAAACAGCATACCTGATAGCCATCGAAAGTCATAATCCATCTAATTCCGCTGTAATCTTTTTCCTGCCAAACTAGACTTAGCAGTCAGCCAGTCATCATCTTGTAATTGATCAGAGATCAAGTGGCATCTTAACTGCAAGACACAGCTAGCTTTGCATGCCTTCCGGTGCTATAAATACTGACGAGCCCCATCACTTCGAATTCATCTCATCCTTCACTAGCTTCTCGCTAGATCAATCACAATGGGTAAGCTTGTGGCTCTTAGCTTCGTTGTCCTCCTAAGCGTTGGACTAGCCAATGCTAGCAGGGTAGCTAGATATGCTAGTGCTGGGGGTGGCGGTAGCGGCGAGGGAGGAGGTGGTGGGTCGGACGGTGGTTCCGGCTGGGGATCTGGCTCTGGCTCAGGATATGGCCAGGCGGGCGGTGATGGATCATATGCTAGTGGAGGTGGAGAAGGAGGCGGTGGAGGCGGTGGAGAGAATGGTGGTTCCGGATATGGTTCCGGTTCTGGGTCTGGGTATGGGCAAGCTGGTGGGTCTGGACCATATGGTGGTGGGTATGCTCAGGGAGGAGGTGGTGGCCAGGGTGGCGGTGGTGGACAAAATGGTGGATCTGGATATGGTTCCGGCTCTGGTTCAGGGTACGGTCAAGCCGGAGGGTATGGACCGTATGGCGGTGGATATGCTCAGGCTGGTGGCCAAGGTGGCGGCGGCGGTGGTGGACAGAGTGGTCCAGGCGGCAGCGGATATGGTAGTGGCTCAGGAAGTGGTTCGGGAAGTGCCTACGGTGGACATCCATAGAAGTGCTTCACCTAAATAACCTAGCAGTACTGACACTATGTGCTGCCTGGTTTGAGAGGTGTTGTTATTAGTTTGCGTGAATAATAACCAAATAAAGGGCTTCACTTGGATGTAATAATGAAAGTGGTCTTGTATACCACTACAGATGTAAGCTCATCAGTGTAATTGAAATGTTCGATCAATGAGTGTATTGTATCCTATATATATGATCTAGAGAATATTTCACTAGTAGTAGAGAAAGCCTAATCACACTACGGCCGGTGCATAATTGCGAATCATGCATGATCGATCGTCTTAAACTGTCAGTGGGTTTCATATAATAAAAACCAGTAGTATTGCTACCAATCATGGCTAGAACCAGTAGTGATAATTAGTTTCCAGGATTTGATTTTTAATATGCCAAACTAAAAAAGAAATATATTATATCTCGTGTATATATAGGACATGTCACAAGTCATATGCCCATCAATCTTTGCTCGCGGTTCCCCCCACCCCTCATTGTATTCGTGCAAGTGAATTTAGAGTCTGGCCGTCAGTAAAAAAATAGTGTGTCACGATGAAAAACCCTTTTTCTAGTAGTATGTAGTATATGGGAGTATGGGACTCGAAACCAACACAGCTCCCTTCATGCATCGCCAGTTTACCATCTCCGGTATAACTCAACATACCATGTTATCATATTTGTTTCATTAATTTGGCCCTTCCTTGCTAAAACTTTAACACATTTTTGGGTAGATAAATCACTTGAAATAAAAAGTTATTAACTAGGTTTCGTAATTGTCTACAAACTTATATATAAAAAGTTTGTCCAAATTCATGTATATGAAAAAAAAAATTATGGATTGTCTTTTGATATTCATTGTCAGTTTTAATGAATATTAGAGCATATAATAACTCTAAATCAAAAAGGTTTTCAACCTGTCAAGAGCTATAACTTTTATATATATGAAGTTTGTGTTCATCTAAATTGTCATGAAAAAAATAATGATTTTTTTTAAGATTGGCTCTGAGTGATTCTTATATATATATATATATATATATATAGTAAAGGCCTAAAGGAGTTGTCTTCAAGCTACGTTAAGTGGGTCGCAAGAGGAAGGAAGCAGATGGTATAACCACACCGGCAGCAACGCTGACTTCTTAGTTCATGCCATATATATACTCCCTCCGTCTCAAATTATAAGACCTATATTTATATACACGGTCTTTAATGATATACTTTAACCATTAATTTATACCATATTATGTTCCTAACAAATATAAAATTAGCATCACATAAAATTACTTTAAAATATGAATATAGTGATATACTCCCTCCATTCCAAATTATCTATATATTTCATGGGTACACCAAGACCAAGAAAAACTAATAACTCTCTTATACTATATTTACTCTAGCAACAAACTTAATGCATGCACCATCCCTACTATTTTGTAGCCAATAGTAAATCAAGATATTGCATGTGGGTTATAAATGCTTGTGTGCATGGATGCATCAATGTCCATTTACTCTAATGCATAAATAACGAATAGACCTAATGAATGAACACAAATATGTAGATTATTTAGGAATAACCTCGAAAAAACTATATGTAGATCAATTTGGAATGGAGAGAGTAACATGCATAATACTTAGCATAAATATATATGGTTAGTATGATTATTAGTCAAAAGTTACCACGTTTTAGTTTTTTTTAAAAAAAGTGTATCCTATAATTTGGGACGGAGGGAGTACCAAGTACGCAGAAAAGTACGTGTATTTGGTCACATATGTCAGGGATGCATGAGCTGGTTTGGAATTTCGGTGGTAATTCTACCTATTCTGAATAAGAGTAGGGATCACGGTGATCAGTAGCATCGATATGCCACTGCTGGATGAATGATTTATATATCCTTGTGAGAGGCCGTAAATTTGGCAGCATGATCCACTAGACATGAGCAATGATTATTTAATAGAAACGATATTATATACTCCCTCCGTCCATAAATATTTGACGTCGTTGACTTTTTCAAATATGTTTGACCATTCGTCTTATTCAAAAATTTGAAGTAATTATTAATTCTTTTTCTATCATTTGATTCATTGTTAAATATACTTTTATATATACATATAATTTAACATATTTCACAAAAGTTTTTAATAAGACGAACGGTCAAACATGTTTAAAAAAGTCAATAGCGTCAAATATTTGGACGGAGGGAGTATATTATTGCAGCTTCCTCTTTCAAAGAGTAAAGAAAAAACAGTCGATCTTGCGCCACATGCAGGTCGATCCATTGAGCTTTTTACCTTTTTTTTTTAGATATTAATGTTGAGCTTTTTACCTGACCAAAAGCTCGCGTCGCAGTAGGTACGGTGGTCAAAGCTATACGTATAATACATCACATGGTCAACATCATACGAATCAGCAGCATCATTTTTCTAAGTATATATGTATTCCTACTGCTAGTACTAGCTAGCAAGCGACACTCAGAGTACGTTGTTTTCGTAGTACTTTCCCTGATTAGTTAGCTACAGTATCGACTGAACATTAATTCTTGCTGAAGAAAGTATCAAGTCAACAAATTAAGCCAACAACCACACGTATTAGGCGAAGCCTTATCAGAAACAAAAGGTTTTCCTGCAAACTGGCCTAAATAAGAGTCATATACCTTCCTAGCTGAACAGTGGTTCTCGTAATAAACCAGTGAACGGAAAATTTCACTCTTCACTTCAGCTTTGCATGGTCTCCAACTCTAGAAACTCTAGAAGCATAAGTATCAAGCCAAACTCTAGACACGTAATCTGTCCAGATTCGTTTTAGGATGAGGGAGATATTGAGTAGTAAATTTGAGCCTTAAAAATTTTAACAAAACACGTTTTCTTTAATACTTTAGATAAAGTTTATAATAACCTAAAAAAAATGTAGTAACAAAAAATGATTTATTATACCAGTTGATTAATACTAGGTGATACCCATGCTTTATTGCGGAATGAATGGATGAATATGTTAAATACTACAGAAATGATGATGTTGAAATATTGTGAAATGATGTGAGGAAGATGATTTGACATATTTATATGTTGAACTCTATAATGGTATATTTTAGATAATATATCACGCTTGCATGTGATTTAAAATGATCTAACAAAACAGTTTTTCTATAGTACTTTAAATAAAGTTTATAATAACCTCCAAAAGAAATGTAGGTAATAAAAAAATATTGATTATACCAATTCATTAATACTATATGATATCCCGTGCTTTGCTGTGGAATGAATGGATGGATATATGTTAAATATTATAGAAATGATAATGTTGAAATATTATGAAAATAATGTGAGGAAGATGATTTCACATATTTATATGTTGAACTCTACGATATTATATTTTAGATGATGTGTCATGCTTGCATGTGATTTAAGATGCTCTACAATAGTAATTGCTAGTAGATGATGATGTGGTATATTTGCATCTTGAGTTTTAGTTTCTAATAATTACTAGCGGGCACTAATTATATACAAGGTATTGATTCCACTATCACATAATATTGCTATCACTATACTATTAAATGTATATTCTAGAAAATAATGGTCGGGCCTTGAGCACTACATTGTTCACCTTGTTGAATTATAATATGCCCTACGAAAATCAAAGGGTGGATAAGCACAACACGGAAAAGACTAATTAATCAGATGTCATACATGCAAGAAATTATATTTAGTGCATACAGCTATGCATCTTGCATGCATACACTACACAGCCACACATTACCACACATGAAAGGTATGTACGTGTAGCATATATAACTTAATTATTAACATGTGACAGCGACTCATTTTATGATATATTGTAGTACTAGCTATTGTATCTATAGGCTTAGTCCAGCTAGCTGTGATCTATATATCATCCTGCCCATAATTAAATTTAATTTGCCCATTGGAAGTGCTCAATTACTTGGACTCAGTAAGTGGTATTATTATTTATGTTTCTCTAGCTATCTAAATATATAATATTATACGTATCAATTCACACGTTATCTTTATTCAGGCCAACTAATAAGAAAGTATGTATAACCAGGCATAAAAGTCATAGTCCATCTAATTCGGCTGCACTCTTTTTCCCCTGTGAAGTAGACTTTGTAATTATGTAGTACTACGTAATTGACTAGAGATCATGCTAGTGGCATCTTGCTTGACAGCTTAATTTACATCAATCACAATGGCTAAGCTAGTGCTATAAATACCGACGAGCCGTTCGCTTGAAATCCATCCCATCCATCCTTGGCTTACTTATCTAGATCAATCACAATGGCTAAGCTTGTGGCTCTTACCTTCGTTGTCTTGGTGAGCATTGGACTAGCCAATGCTGGAAGGGTGGCTAGATATGCTAGTGCAGGCGGTGGCGGCGGTGGAGGGGGAGGTGGCGGTGGGTCAAACGGTGGATCTGGATGGGGATCCGGTTCTGGCTCTGGGTATGGCCAGGCAAGTGGCGGTGGAGCATATGCTAGTGGAGGCGGAGGAGCAGGAGGTGGTGGAGCGTGGACACGACATGGCGGGATCCGGCATACGGTATCCGCGTTCATGGGTCTCGGTTAGTGGACAAGCTGGTGGGTATGGACCATATGGTGGAGGATATGCTCAAGGAGGGGGTGGCGGACAAGGTGGCGGTGGTGGACAAAATGGTGGATCCGGATCTGGGTATGGCTCTGGCTCTGGGTATGGTCAAGCTGGAGGGTATGGGCCGTACGGTGGTGGATATGCTCAGGCCGGTGGCCAAGGTGGCGGTGGCGGTGGTGGACAGAGCGGTCCTGGTGGCAGCGGGTATGGTAGTGGATCAGGAAGCGGATCTGGAAGTGCGTATGGTGGACACCCATAAAAACATGTAGAATCTAAATAAACTAGCACCACAGGCCATGTGTGCTGATTGCATGTTTGAGAGATGTGTTATTTACGTAAATAATGGGTAATAAAGGGCCTCCGTTGAATACACTGTAATAACAAAATGTACTGGTCATTGTACACCACAATTCTACACAGCCCACCGGTGTAACTAGATGTTTGATCAATACATAGTAGTGTTGACAGTGTTGCGTCATACTTTAAAGTCAAGAGAGCATTTGAATCTCTGGTTGCTGTTGCATGCTCTTCTGCAGATCAGACTCCATACATGTGCTTTGCAGCAGTATGCATGGAGAGGCATTAGGTTACTATGAAAAAAAGATCGTGCAAATAAGGTTAAGCTGACCTTTGTCTGGACAGATAAGTTTGACTTAAAAGAACAAATCTTTGTGGTTTTAACGATTTAAAAGTAAAATAAACTACGATAAAAATATAAAAAAATAACTTTTGAATTGAGTTTTAAAATTTAAATTTTGAATGTAGCTTAACTAAAAGACATATATAGGAGAAACAATAGGGGAGCAGAAAAATAGTTGATTTGTATTGGTGTCTTATGGGTGCTCTAGGTCCATCTCTCTTGCCGACAACGTCGAACTACTTGAACCCGAGTAATTAGCTTCCTTAAGCCACACGAATGGTCTTGTCGGACATATATGAAAATACGTTTTCACATGCAGCCGTCGATGCAGGGTCCACATAGCATACAGCCATATATGTTTAGCGAAAAAGGTTTCCAGAGCAGTGATTACCCTCTCTATTCTAACTTATTTTTTATTCTTCACTCCTCTCTTTCTCCCACTTGTATACCTACCCCAGCCCACTCCTCTCCCCTCTCCACCCTCCCGACAACGGGCACAGGCGATGGCGGTTGAAATGGTGGGTGTGGTCGACCGGCAGCGGCGGCGGTTGTGGGCGATAGCTACGGCGACAGTGGGCGTGGGCGACGGTGGTGGCCCCCTCGGCTCTCCCCCGCGCAGATCCAGGGACGGGTTCGAGCGGGAGGCCGGTGGCGGCTCTCCCCTGCCCTCCCCTTTTTAGTTGTGGATCTACATGAAACCCAACTTGTGAGCACACTCACACTATATACCCTTTTTTTTTTCTTCCTTTGCTTTTTAGCCTTTCTTCATATGAGTGCAAAGCAATGGAAAAAGCTTTGCCATCCGCCATATAGTTCACATGGAACGCATATCAGGTCCTACTCACATGCATTTAGCATCCTCCGTCCCTTTCAAAATCAATACTTTTTATTTTTATATATATGACACTAAAACTTGCTATTCGCATAGCTTTCTACCTAGATTTTAAATTTTGGGGCAATTGCTTATTTGACCCAGTTTTGAACTCTAACTACCAATTTGACCCTACTTTTTGAAGTTTGCTTATTTGACCCTCCTTTTCAAAAACGAAGCTACGGTATGACCCTATTCTGTTAAGGGCATCTAACGGTGTTAACTGAAGCACAAAATGTCTCTTCTGCCCTTACTCATTTGACCCTATTACATGTGGGACCCACCCGTCAGTTCTCTTCTCCTCTCCTCTCTTCTCTCTTCTCTACGGATTGACCACAGGGAGAGGCGGCCAAAGGCGAGACGGCGAGCCGACGCCGGCCTTGGTGATGACGACGACGACGACAAGTGGCGGCGGCGCGTTCTTATCCTCTCCTCCACGTATCCACCACAGGGAGAGGCGACGAAAGGCGAGACGGCGCCGGCCCTGGTGACGACGACAACGAGGAATGGCGGCGGTGAGTCCGGGCGGTGGAGCTCGAGCTGCGGTCAGCGGATCCGGCGCCGCCACCGCCACCTCCCTCATCCCGCGCCGGCGCCGCCTCAGTCGCCGCCGCCCCTCAGCCGGCGTGGATCTTCTCCCTCCACGCCCCTCAGCCGCCGCCACCGCCGCTCCCTCCCTCCGCCCCCTCAGCGCCACAGCCGCCGCCTCCCTCATCCCGTGCCGGCGCCACCTCAGCCGCCGCCGCTCCCTCCCTCCCTCCCTCCCTCCGCGCCCCTCAGCTGCCGCGCCGGTGCCACCTCAACCGCCACCGCTCCCTCCCTCCGCGCCCCTCAGCCGTCGCCGCCGCCGCTCCCTCCCTCCACCCCCTCAGTCACCGCCGCCGCCCCCTAGCACCGCCGCCACAAGTCGAGCGAGCAGGAAGGAGGAAGGAGAAAGAGAGAGAAATGTGGATAAGGTTGGGTGGATGGATAGGGTCTCCTAAGGGTATTCTGGGTATTATAAATATTAGTTGCATTTCTTTTTTTATTTTAAATCAAACCTTAACGGACTAGTGGAAACAGGGTCAGACGGGAGCTTCGTTTTTGAAAAGAAGGGTCAAACAAGCAAACTTCGAAAAGTAGGGTCAAATTGGTAGTTAGGGTTTAAAACGAGGTCAAATAAGCAATTGCCCTTAAATTTTCATATCTGAACTTTTAGTTTAGGCTTTTGACTATATGGGTATGACTTACACTAGAAACGTACTAATTATTTCCGTAGAAATACTCTCTCTAGAACCATTTTGGATAAAAGCTTTAATTTCCATAGAACAATGTTCTACATAACAACGTATACCCAGTATGAAAAAAAAATCAACTGAAAATTAAGAACTTTTAATCCAGCATCGATTCTTTTTCTCTTTAGAGCAAATTAAAATTCTATGAAAAAAATCAAATAATTAACTTTTTATTGAAAGTTGTTATTTAATTTAAAAAATTAACTAAGTAGTGCAAATTTGTGCTAGAATTTAAAAGATATTCAAAGTAATTATTAAATCAAATTTTAAAGAAGCCCACATCTCGTGTGGCGCATGGCCACACGGGACACGAGAGCACACGTGCGAAATAGCATGTTTCTGTGTGGGCATGATAATAGTATAGCTTGCCAAAGTGCGGTTGTGGTGGGTTTTTTGTGTGTATTGTGATGTGTATTTCTTTGAGACATGAGTCATTAAAGTGTTGATCGACGATTTATTATGGCAAATTGGTTATCTTCATTTTGTCAGCACTAACAGGCATACCCCCACTGGCACTGCCTATCCTTCCTTCGATAATTATTTCCTTATAAAGCTGCTTCGTTTAGCCTTTAGCTTATAAATATAAACGAAAATTTAAATTTAAAACTTAAATTTATTTTTTTGAATTTTCAAAATATATTTTAATCTTCTTTATTTGTTTTTAAAATCACTAACAAACACGTATATAAATGTTTTACTCATAAAATATTATTTAATCGTTAAATAATAAACTGTTTTGCTCGTAACTATAATCGTGACACCCCGTTTATAGTCTCTGGGCAACTCGACCCATGATCCATCGTGCAGTTAATTAGATCCATTGTTTTGATTGGGAAGCACACACACATATCGAGTGTTCATTGCCTTTTTCGTTTTTTTTCCCCATAAGCTTAGATTCGCACATGCTAAAAACCCACTTGATTAATTAGCCCAAAAGTAATGCATATTGAACGTACATATCCCATTCCATGATTCTTCGAGATCATTGTTTATATTTTTAAGCCACTTCATTGTTTTTTTAATTGTTAAATTAGATGCAAAGTGCTATTCTGGCAGAAATCTACCTAATAACTACGGGTGAAGACAGTGGGGGTCACTTGTTATTACCGAGAGGACTAAGTACAGGCCTTCTGCAAGAAACACGTTTCAGCTCAAGTCACAAACGCGTGCTCTGCTCTTTTCTTTCTCTTATTTTTTTTTAGAATTACACAATACAACGCAGACACTCGCAATGCACGCGTACTTACCCCCTATGAACGCACGCAAACCCTACCTCTACGAGCATCTTCGAAGACTGGGCCGGCAAGTCATTGAGATTGACGAAGTCACCACAGGCGTCTCGTTGTCGACAGGTACATTGCCTACCACTGAATCTTTCCATCACATTATTGGGATGTGCTCCCTCCGTTTTTTCAATATACGATGTCATTAACCTTTTAAAACACTTTAACCATTCATCTTATTTAAAAAATTTATATGATTAATATTTATTTTCTTGATTTGAATTATTATTAAAAGTTCTTTAAACATAACTAATATTTTTTATGTTTGTACAAAAGACAACAATGTTATATTGTAAAGAATGGAGGTATATATGTTGTGACAAAGTAATAAATTAACAGATTGTCAAACTGTGGACTCAGAGTACGTGGTTTTCATACTTTCCCTGACCATGTAGCTACCAACAATTTCAACCCAACATACATAGCCCACAAAGTGATAGTCAAGCCATGCCTGAAACAAAAAAGTTTGCTTAACTAACTGGCCTGAGAGTCATATCTTGCCTACTCGTTCTTCTTTTTGTTCCCTGAAGAACACTGATTCAGATAAACCAGAGACCGAATGTGTCACTCTGTGCTAGAGCTCTGCATGGTCTCCAACACTATAAATACCCAAGCAACCCTCACACTCTGCACCCATCTCATCATCCAAACACATAGAGTACTTAATTAGCAATGGCCAGAACCAAGTTGGTATCTCTTAGCTTTGTTGTTCTGCTGAGCGTTGGTCTAGCCAATGCCGCAAGGGTAGCTAGATATGCTAGCGCCGAGGGTGGCGGTAGTGGAGGGGGAGGTGGTGGAGGGTCCGAGGATGGTTCTGGATGGGGATCCGGCTCTGGCTCTGGGTATGGTCAGGCCGGCGGATCTTCCGGTGGAGCATATGCTAGTGGAGGCGGGGGAGGTCAAGGTGGTGGAGGCGGTCAAAATGGTGGATCTGGATATGGTTCTGGGTCCGGTTCTGGTTATGGCCAGGCTGGTGGCTATGGCCCTCATGGTGGAGCGTACGCTCAAGGAGGTGGCCAAGGTGGAGGCGGTGGTGGTGGGGTGAATGGTGGGTCAAGATATGGTTCCGGCTCTGGGTCTGGATATGGTCAGGCTGGTAGCTATGGCCCCGGTGGAGCTTATGCTCAAGGAGGTGGACAAGGTGGAGGTGGCGGTGGTGGACAAAATGGAGGGTCTGGGTATGGTTCTGGCTCTGGCTATGGCCAAGCTGGTAGTTATGGCCCAGGTGGAGCATATGCTCAAGGAGGTGGACAAGGTGGAGGTGGCGGCGGTGGACAGTATGGCGGGTCTGGGCATGGTTCTGGCTCTGGCTATGGCCAAGCTGGTAGTTATGGCCCAGGTGGAGCATATGCTCAAGGAGGTGGACAAGGTGGAGGTGGTGGCGGTGGACAATACGGCGGGTCTGGTTCTGGCTCTGGATCTGGTTCTGGCCAAGCTGGTGGATACGGGCCTTACGGTGGAGGATATGCTCAGGCAGGCGGTCAAGGCGGCGGTGGCGGGGGTGGGCATCCATAGAACTTCTATATAGTGAACAACTGCATTTTATGCAGTTAAATAATATCAAAGAGGCCCTTGTTATGTGGTAACCGATAATAGAATAAAAGTAGTGGTAATGTAAACTACTATGTAATGTTACTGGTGCAATGAATAACCTCTTGCCTTATGCTTCTTATACTATTGTAGAAACTATTATGTTAGTAGGTCCTAGTGGAGTGAAAAAAATTTTTGGACGACAACTTTAGAAGTTTTGAATGAAACATTTTAAAATATAAACAGATTCTCACTGACATTGAATGTTGTTTTAAAGGAACAAAAAAAATTGAAGTTTACAAATGTTGTAACCAAGAAAGAATGAGGAAGCTAAGAGAGAGCATTATTTCATCCTACAAACATGTAAGAGATAATATCCTCCTTAAAGAACCAAGCCCCAACCAAGCATAATATTCTGAAAATTATTCAGCCTTATTGTCGAAAAATTGTCGATGTGCTCCAAACTTTGTACAATCAATCAATCACTAAAATTACAAATCATCTATCACTCGCAATTAATATTCAAAACAAAGAACCACAGGAGAAACAAAATTGACATATATATATATCTGGTAGTGAGCCAGATAATTTGCTTAATTATAGGAGTTAAATAGGCTTTTTAATTTTCTCCCTTTTAATATAAGTAGATCATTTTTTTTTACCTTACATATTTAATTTAAGATTGATGGGCAGTACCTTACTCTATGTTACCAAATATTATCTTAATTTATCATAACTGGATAAATGGTTTTCCAATTTTTTCCTTCTGCGTGGAGTAAAATTATATGTTGTTCATTTTTTTTCATTACATCTTAAGCATGCATGCAGCCATATTTGTCCAGTAATCATACCTCTATTTGTAGATTAAGGACTCGTGCATGGTCTAATCATGTTGGAGAGTCAGCGCTTGCATGGGGTGACTGACAAGAACACTGCACATGTAGACATGTAGTTCAGTTTATTTTGCCACGTAATTAAGTTTCCTAGCTTGGTACACTGCAAAGTCACAAACTGACAATATCGACAATATCAAATACAGTAGGTAGTATAAATATTACGACAATGTTCGTCATAGAGCTTTGTGATGTTGCACAAAAAGCTAGGGCTAGCTGCCAGCGTTCTTAATGATATTGTTGACAAAACCTCACTTCCCTGAATTCAGTAACACTAAAAAGGGATATCCATGTACAGATATATACTTGCAACTAAACTAGAGATGGTCAAATGCATGGGCTTATGTACGTCCATGGTTTTGATACTTTCCCTGAACTAGAGAACAAACTGCAAAATCAGACAAATCTTTTTTTCCAATCCCCTGGCAATGGCCTTCTAGCCATTTGCGTCGTGTAACCAGAACCCTGTTTTCTTCTAATATACCGACGTGCAATTCTTTTTGTGCGTTAGCGAAAAAAAAGTCAGACAAATCTTAAACACCCTGGACGTAATAGTCAAGCCTTATGAGAAAAACGCTGGCTTTAGCGAGTCATCCCTTACCTACTCCGGCTATTGTTTTTATTCCTGAAGCACACTGCAATATATGCTCACTATTCTCCAAAACTGATTCGATCGTGGTTTATTTACAATTATAACTTCCACACCTATTCATTTGTCATTTGGGATCATTTCCTATCTTATGTCATTGGCTGTAGAAGATTGATAGATAGGCTATCAGTGCACTCTTCCGGGTGGGACCAGAACTTCCTACTCGTTCTCGCACCCCAGCGCACGGAAAGAAAAGTAAGTTGTTTTGGCGAACATCAAAGAAAAAACGAATTTTGGCTCTACGTCCGGTCGGGTATGTTCGCGCTGCACAAGTCCAGAGTTGTGTGTACCCCTAGTGAAAGCGCTGGACAAAGACACTCGCCCAGGCTTTATACCTATATTTGCCCCGCCCTATGACCCAAAACTAAAAATGAGCCTTGCGACGAGACGCCAATGTTATGGAAGTTCCTGGATTGTTTGAAATCAGATTAGTACCAGTTCAATAGACATTCTGCTGGAACTCACCTTTATCTTTAGAGATGATGATGGGTGCACTGCGTTTTCAAAAGCTTCCTGTCGAACACTATTGACCAAAATGTCATTATGCACCATGCAATTCGTTCCGTCATCTCATCCTTGGAAATACATACAGCACATCATGGCCGGGAGAAAGTTCCACATTTTGCAACCAACTCAAAGCCTAAATTTGAATCAGGAATATGATTGGTTAATTTAACAGCAAGGAACAAAGCTAAGCATTGTGAATTCCAGACCAGGTACTGTTTATCAGTTAACTAAAGGGGCATGGAAAGAATGCATTCTGAACTTATCTTGAGCTTCTAGTTCGCCCTGCAATATCTACAGACTCTAGCTACTAACCACCAAGTTATTTTTTGGGATGAAAAACAGCAGAGAGCCAGTGTCTGAGCAATTATAAATTTCTAACATCACAAAATAAAAACTATCTCAGCGAGTACAATTAACAATAAACAGCTAAAGATTGCATAGGGAAGAATTTTCACCGAAGCTACCCAAGCTAGTGCTCAGGTTCATGTCTCACTACTAAAATGCAACTGTCAACCCTGTCTACAAATGCCAGATTACCGTGGGAATTCAATGTTACATTACGATTCAACAACATTTCTGTGGAGGTAATATAATACAGTGAATCACCATGAAGGCACGGAGAATACACACACCCTCCAGATTCCTAACCACCGGTGAGTTTCAAATCCAAATTGAATCGTCCGATGCATGGGTGAGTTCAATCGAAGCAATCAACAGAACTACGAATTGGGGGTAAATACAGAAACACTCGAAGACTAACCTCGAGGAAGTCAACAACGGCGTGGGCGCCGCTGGCGAATCCACCGCCCGTCGCTGTAGCGTTCGGCGCCGCCGCGGGAGGGGGCGCGGCTCTAGACGAGGTCACCGTCGCCGACGCCGGCGGCGGCGTCTCCGCCCCCGCGTCTGCTAATGGGCAAGGTAGTACTGTGGGCCGGCATGGACGAGGCCCAATATGGTAGCGATCCATCTCAGTGTGGGCCTCTAGTTAAATCAATGGGCCGTCAAGATTGGACCCACGTTTCGGCCGTCAATTTCTTTTGCGGGCTGAATGGGCTGAATTCTTTCGTCCAGAAGAGATGGGCTAGATTTATATATGGGCTGGATTGTATCGAGGATAAGAGGTAGTAGGCCGAATTTGTTTGTGGGCCAAATTCTCTGATCCCCTCCGGCGCCGGCGCCGGCGCCGGCGAGGCGGAGACGGCGGCCTCGTGGCTGATTGAACGGAGGCGCTTTATACTTCTCTTCGCCTTGTCAAATTCAGTTAAATGAATGGAACAGTATTCTGTCACTGAAAGAGAGATCTACGATTATTCTGGCCAATTCTGGCTAGTTAATTAGCCATGCAGATGTTGGAGAATTTTCGTTTTAGACAAGAACAAACAGATGCAGGTGAATTGGTCTATGCAAACATATACTCCTATATATTGATCGATTGTGTATTTGTGTTTTGATGATTGATAGTGTTTCGATCCAGAAGATAGTTTATTAGTTTGGCTTATGTCTCACCGTGATCATCTCTTAACGCAAGATAAAATTGGTTGTTGGAATCAACTAGTCAGCATCTGCGTGCACACGGAGAAAGCAAGCAGATTGCTGCAGTGTTTTGGTTTCTTTTGCAACTTCCAATGCTCTCTACGTATCTGACCTAAACGACAACCAGTGTACCACTAAAATATAAACTTGACTGTGTTTTTGTAGGGTATGTCCTATGCTGGAGTACAATGGATGGTCAAATGCCTGGGCTCATAGAACATGGTATCGACTATCGACAGGCTACTTTCCCTGACCATAGGGCATATATACCTGCGCCCAACCTTACAACGTACACACATGTAGTCAAGCAGAATCAAAGAAAAGGTTGCGTTTGATTGTCCCAATAGTCATACGATGCCAACCTCTTCTTGGACTTGTACTCACGAAGCACACGGCAACGCTGCTCTGCTTTGATAAAACCAGTGACCAAATGGCACAGATTGCATATTTGCACAGCAACTTTGTATGGCCTTCTTTTTTCTTTTTTTTTACACTCACTTTGTATGGCCTCCAGCACTATAAATAGAGACACACGCTTCGTACTCTCATCTCAACCTTCAGATTCACATCTGTGAGATAACAATGGCTAGAAGCAAGTTTGTTGCTCTTAGCTTCGTCGTCCTCCTTGGCATTGGACTGACCAATGCTACAAGGGTAGCTAGGTATGTGAGCGCTGGAGGAGGCGGTGGGGGAGGCGGAGGTGGTGGTGGGTCAGGGAATGGTTCTGGGTGGGGATCTGGCTCTGGCTCAGGGTATGGCCAAGCTGGAGGCTCTGGTGGAGCATATGCTAGTGGAGGTGGTGGCGGTGGAGGTGGTGGAGGTGGACAAAACGGTGGATCTGGGTATGGTTCTGGATCTGGTTCAGGTTATGGTCAGGCTGGTGGATATGGGTCCCATGGTGGTGCGTACGCTCAAGGAGGCGGTCAAGGTGGTGGTGGAGGTGGTGGGGCAAATGGTGGGTCTGGATATGGTTCCGGATCTGGCTCTGGCTATGGTCAGGCTGGTGGCTACGGTCCTCATGGTGGAGCATATGCTCAGGGTGGCGGACAAGGTGGTGGTGGTGGCGGTGGATACAATGGTGGATCAGGTTATGGTTCTGGTTCTGGATCTGGTTACGGCCAAGCTGGTTCATACGGGCCCTACGGTGGTGGCTATGCTCATGCAGGTGGTCAAGGTGGCGGCGGCGGCGGAGGGCAGAGTGGCCCAGGTGGCCATGGATATGGAAGTGGCTCTGGAAGCGGTTCTGGATCTGCCTATAGTGGTGGGCACCCATAGGACTGTTATCTAAATGAACTATGTGAATGATGTGTGCCAACATATATGGCCCTAAAATAAATATGTACCAAATAATACGTCTTGTACCAAAATAATATGCCATGGCATAGTTGTCATAGCTGGATAGTTGTAATAAAAGTAGTAGTCTTTAAGACTACTAAATACAATATATGTACACTTTCTCCTTAATTGATCGGTAACCTATTCAATTATTATGGACAAGAGGGAATTTTGGCGAAGAACCTTGCATCACTCCAGGAGGGATAGCTCGGGCAGCAAAACCCTACTAGCCGCCTCCACCACTTCTCCTCACTCCTCCTCTTCACCTCGTCGCTGCCTGAACGAGGTACTAGTAGTCCGCGCTCCAGCTGGGAATGCTGGGATGTTGGGGATACTAGGAATGGTAATATGTATCTGTGTTTTTGTTATTTTGCAGCAGGCATGGCTAGCAAAGGCTTGACGCTAGCCAAAAAAATAAATTTATTTTTTTTGGTAAATTACTCATCGGTGACGGGTTAAAAAAAAGCAACGTCACGGGTGCGCATAAAAAACGTTGGTTCTAAAACAGAAACCATCCCAATAAGTCATCGGTGACGGTCTCAAAACCATATCGACAAAGGTGACAAACATCTTTATCAGTTTGTAGTAGGGGATCATCACGGATGAATCATCCGTGACAGGCTCTAGTTTCACTCCTTTGTTGGGTCAAACCTATTGGTAATGGTCTTTTGTGTCGGCCCGACATAGATCACTATCATTGGTGATGGTATGTAGCCTGAGTGCCTGACACAGATAACTTTTCACATCACTGTCCAATAATCCGTGACGCAGCCTCCCTCCGATACAGATGAAGGTTCCCGACACAGATGTCTTGTTCCGTACTAGTACGGTGATGTAAGAGTATTACTATTGGTTGTCTGGTTTTTTTTTCCAAACCAATATGAACTGACAATGTTACTCAATATCATTTCCAGTTCAAGGATTGAACTGAGAGTGAAACTAGGCCATTGCTGCAAAGAAAGCAAGTATAGTCGTCACTTTAAGTAAGAACAAGACGAGGTGGAGGCCGAGACTAGAAAATTTTAAGCCAACATGACACCGCTCTCTCCTCTATTCTTTCTTCTCTGTCCTCTCTATGTCCTATACCTAGCGTCCTGAGTGCCCTCACCTCTCTATGATCCGAATCTGACTGACGTGCCACTACTCCCCTCTCCTCCGGCGCCACCACCTCCCTTTCCTCTGGCCAGCCCTGCACAAGCTTAGAGGCGGTCAAATTTGACCACCACAAGCTTGGAGTTAGATCCCGATCACCACGGGCTTAGTGGTCTTGGATCCAGTTGACCTGAACTCAAGGGTGGATTTGGTGGTGACAACAATGATAGCCTTGGAGGGTGTCCACCACCGCTTCCCTCTAGCTGGCAACATTACCTATGGCCAACACACCATGGAGAAGGTGAGGACTGACGGATTGAAAATGGGAGGGAGGCCAAAGATCGTCGTTCCACCAGCATGCATGTGGGCACCGACAGATCTACAAGGAGGCTAGATGCGATCCACCACACCATTGGAGGGAGAGTGTTCATAATTTCTTAGAGGGTAAGTTGGCTAACAAGAAACACCAATTTCTTCATGTTACAGATACAATTCCAAATAACCACACAAATGAAAAGTTAATCGCATAATTGTGTTACATGTATCCATTTTGAGTGGTAGGTCATTCAATTTCCAATCTTCCCACGATGCTATAGGATTCCTTCAAGATGGCCACAAGGCCCTAGGCCCTAGGCCCGGCCCAACCACGGCACGGCACAACTGGTGTCGAGCCCGTGCTGGCCCGACCCGATAGTTGGGCCGTGCCTGGGCCGATGCCTTGGCACGGTGGACCGGCCCGGCCCAACACGATCAAAGAAAAATAGTTGGGGGGAACCAAAATAGACTTACATAAGATATATAAGGCACGACCCAAAGAGAAGAGGGATACAAAATAGACTTATTCCATCCATAACAAACACAGCCCAAAGAGATGAGGGAGGAGAAGTAGACTTATTCTATGGAGAAGCGCAATAGGCTGTCATGCCTTCGAGCCAGCCCGACACAACCCGAAACTTATTGGACCATGCCTGGCCATGCGTGCAGCCCGTGGGCAGGCACGGCCCAGCCCGGCGTGTAGATCAGGCTGTGCCGGTCCGACTGACCTCGGCCCAAGCCGATCGTGCCTGGGCCGTGCCTGGTCGGGCGGCCCATTTGGCCATCTATAGGATTACTACACCAAAAGTTGCCTTCTCCATCTCTAATTAATGAGCTTCGGTGGCAACATCACACTTGACCAGTCTGGATCGCTCATTAGGAGAGGAAAAGTGATGTCAGTTACGACATGCATGCAGAGTGAGGTAGGGCAAGTGTTGGGATTGCATCAGAGAGGTTTATATTGTTTTCTTCAGAGTGAATTTGGTATATTTCAATGGCTTGAAAATAACTGATTTTGTGTAGCGCCTGTTCCGTCGTGGCGCCTAGCGGGAAAAATTATCTCTTAAAAATCCTATTTGCGAAATCTGTTTCTTTGCTTGTTGTCAAGTGTCCGTGCCTTCTCAGATCTCAAATCCCCGATCTATCGTCGAGTTCAATCCCGAATCCAAATCCTTCCCAAATCAATTCCTCCGCAAAAGTCTATTTTGCCTCCCTCGGGTTCGATGGGCCAAATCTCTCTCGGCCCATCTTCCCCTCCCTCCCCGGCTCTCTCTCTCTCTTTCTCTCTCTCTCTCTCCCTCTCTCCCTCGCTCTGCGCGCGCGCCGCGCGCGCGTGCGCGTAAGCCGCGCCGAGCACCCCTCCCCCTCGCTCTCCCTCTCCCTGCCTCCATCCCTAGCGAGCTCCCCGCCCCAAAATCGGCCCCCGCGCGCCGTTGCTCGCGTGCGCGCGCCCGCGTGGTCGCCGCCCGTGCCGCGCCTGCGCCGTCTGCGCCGCCCGGCCCCGCTGCCCTACCGCGCCTGTAGCCGCGCAGGCGCTCGGCCCCGCGAGTCAGCACGCGTACCGAAGCCGCGCCGCTCAAAAAAACGTTCCGCCCGTTGCTTTCCGCGTGCGCGTGCCGTGGTGGCCGTCCGCCTGGTCGCCGCCGCCGTCGGCCTCTGCCGCGCCTGCCCGCGCCTGCCGCCCGTGTCGTCGCCCCGCTCCTTTCCGCCCCGCCGTCTTCGCCGTCGTCTTCGTCTCGGCCCCTCCCCTCCACGCGCTAGCTTCCAAGGAAAGAAGGCAGAGCTCCTCCTCCCTCTGCCGCATCACCCCCCCGCTCCCTCCTCCTTTTCCCAAAGCGGCAAGGAGGCAAGCCCCCTTTCCCTCTTCCTTTCTTCTTTTTCCTCCTCTCGTCGGCGTCACCTCCTGTCGTCGTTTTGGCCGCTAGCCGGGCGCCAGCTCGCCGGCTTGACCGTCCAATGTCGGTTCCCCTCTCCCAAACTGACATTGTCGCCCCTATAAACCCAAGCTCCTCCCTCCTCCAATCTCCCTTGTTTTCGTCTCTCGCCGCCACGCCATTGTCGCCGCCTCCCGTGCTCTGTTCGCCGTCCCCGTTCGTCGTTGCGCGTGTCGGAGGAGCCGGCACGAGCAAGGACGCGGAAGGGGACTCCGGGCGCGCCCTCCCCCTCCTCTTCCTCGGCCCGAGGCCAAAACGATCACGTTTCGCGCCGTCGGCTCTCGTCACTGCGCCCGCCCGCACGGTAGTGCCTCCCTCCGTTCATCCTCCTCGTTCCACCTCCTCCCCTTAGACTCGGGTAGTAGCACGAGTAGCCTTCCCGTAGCTAGCCAGCGCCGCCCCGACCGTTGCCGCCGCTCGCCGTGTGCTCGCCGCCGTCGCCGCCCAAGCTCGGAAGCGCCTCTCGTCGCCGGCCTCCCTCGATGCGTTTCCTCCTAATCCGGCACAAGGGACGGATTCCCGTAGCCGCGTAGATGCTCTCGCCACCGGGAATCGGCCCCTCGTGACCTCGTCGTCGTTTTCCTCTTTTCTCTCCGCCGGTTGCCGCTGCCGCAATCCGCCGCTGTCGAGCTCCCTCCGGCGAATCCGAGCCACTGGATTTTCGTTCGGGTAGATTTGTAACGCCCCGATTTTCGTTCGGGTTTAAAAATCAATTAATAATACATTTTCTAGAAATTAAATAAAAGTTAAATCAATTTAATCAAGTGGAATAATGGGAGAATTTGAAATTTTCCCTTAAAAATCATTGGCCGGGAATATTTTGTAATATTCTTTGTGCCCTAAAATACTCTCCGGATTTTTCCGTGAATTTTCGGAGCTCGAGAAATAGTTTTAAAGTCACGAAGATCATTTAACCAATTTAAATAAAAAGAAAACAAAATAAACTTCCCCTCTTTGTCTTTGGGCTCGGCCCATTCTCCCTTTCCTCCTTCCCTCCTTTTTCCGCGTGGGCGCGGCCCAGCTCGGCTCCCCCTCCTCCAAGTCCACTTAACCCCCAGCCTCCTCCCTCCTCCCCTCGCCGACAGGTGGACCCGAGGCCCCACCTGTCATCGTCCCCCCAACCGTCTCCTCCTCTCTCCTTTCCCCCGAGCCACCGACAGGTGGGCCCCACCTGTCGGGGTCATCCCCAACCTCCAGCCCGGGCCGGCAACTGCCATGGCCGCCCGAGCCGCCCACGTCGCCGCCCCTCCCCGCGCGTCTTCCGGTTCCCGCGCGCGTGTGGGCGCGGTCCACCCCACGTCATCCCCTTCCTCCACCATCTCCCCCACTCACCCCGCAAGAAACGGCGCCGGTTTGACCTCCCCACGAGCTCCACTTCACCTCCCCACTCCGCCGGCCGTTGCCGCCCGTCCGGCCACGATTTCTCCTCCCCGAGCCTATAAAAATGATCCCCGTGCCACCCTCCCCCTTTTCCCCAATTTTCCCGTACTCCCCGCACTCTCCCCCGCCCTCCCCACGCAAAATCGAGCCGTCGCCGCTCTCCGGCGAGCTCCGGCCGCCCCTAGCCGCCATTCTCGCCAACCCCGCACTGCGCCGTCGCCCTCCCCGGCACCACAGTCGCCGTGCGCACCCCGTCCACCGCTCCTCTTCGCCAATCCACCGCCGCAACGCCGCTTCCACCGCCACCCCGAGCCACCTTCGCCTTTAGCCGCCTCCATCCGCTCCCCGCCGGCGAGCGCCGCCTCGCCCGGCCGTGCTTTTGCCTCCAACAGCTTCGCCGCGTCGTGCCACAC